GTTACAGGGCAAATTAGGAAAGAGCTTGCATCCATTCACATCTGTACAAGGAATTATACACCGTACGCATTCGCTACCTTACACATGCAGGCCATATTTTACAAGAATTTATACATTAAGAAATTGCATGGAAATGATCTTGTTTAAACATTCATGAAGAGTAAACATCCCCCAAGAGTGCTGAAGACAAAAATTCAGCTTCGTCCCTCCGGAAAGCTCAGCTCACCTCTCTTGGTGCCTTTAAAGATCTGCATCAGATCACTCCAAAACCGATGGGATGTTGAAGTTTATCTGCTTTGGGGATGTGATGATTATTTTTAGCGGGAGGAGCTTAGAAGACCTGCGGGTTTGGAAGCATGAGCTGTATGGCAAGGTCCAGCCCTGTCTGTGTGGGGCTGATTTTGCCTTTTCCGCAATGGCCCCACTGGCCCCCCTGCAAGGAAGCCAAGAACTGAACTTGTTGTGTGTTCTCAACTGTGCTGGAAGCTCTTTTCTCAACACATCTAAACATCTTTTTTTTTTTTTTTTTGTTAGCCAAAACACTATAGAGGCTAAAAAACTCTCATTTATGTATGCTTTTCTTCTCCTGGATTGCTTTGACACAGTGATAATTAGTCATGCTAGATTGTCCGGGTTGACAAATTACTGACAGTTTGACAGGCCCCATCAGAAAGGTTGCGTAACCCAATGTAAGTCAGGATCCAAGCCGGTGGCTGCCACACTCCTCACTGCGCCAGAACGGAGAATGAGGCGCGTCGTTTTCAGCCCCCAAATTGGTCACAGCTGAGAGAACGGCGTCGTTCACAGCCTGGCTGGCAGGGCCACCTCTTGCAGGGCGGAAGGGGGAGGAGCATGGGGAGGGAGATTGGAGGCATTAGGGGACAGGCAGCCACTGCGAGATAAGGCCCTAGAAAGCTCTCCCCTCCGAGAGGTTCAGATACAGGCAAAGTCCAAGAGACAGGGGAGTTATTGGAAAACAATTATGCTTATCTGCTTCCTGCCAATCTGTGTCCATTACAGAGCAGAAGTAATTATAGATACCGTAGACACACTGTGGCATTAGGTAAAGTGTTGGAAATTATGCTGCTTAACGGCGCTTCCTGACGGGCTCTCTGCAGGGCCGGAGAGCTGGGCCGGGCCAGCGGTACCAGCGTAGGGGCATGGCAATGCTGCTGGCAGAAGTTTCTCACATTGGGCCACTTTCTGTCCCAAGGGAACCCATGCCAGCCACCAAAAGAGGAAACAAAAAGTTAGAGCTGATACTAATTTGATCCATGCTGACTATTTAGTATGTCATTCACATAGCTGTCTTAGCAGAGTAAACCTCCGTATTTTATTGGAGGAGTTTTTATAGTTTGCCTCACAGAGCCAAAAGCAGGGTCAGCGCTGCAGATTAGAATCAATTCAGCGGAGGGAAAATAAACCCTTGGAATATATCTTGCCTTCCCCGAGCACGTCGCAGGCATTAGCAGTAATGGGAGCCCTGCCTGCGCATGGAGAGGAGGCATCTTCCACTCAGACTCCCAGCCACCCTCGCCCTTGGTCGTGCTGTCCCATGACCTTCACAGCGGGTGTGATGATTCCGGATTCATCGTCTCCTAACGTTATGCTACTATGCACAGGAGGAGCACGCGCGCGCACACACAGTGTTCCTTCCTCGTGGAAGAAATAGACGGAGGAGGGAAGAGGGCAGGGAGGTCTCTTATCCATGAGCTGTTGGAACTTGGCCAACACTGGTGAGGGGGGCAGAGACCTTCAGGGCATGGATGGAAATTGCCCATCTGCCCTCCGTAATGCTGTGCTGCTTCACTGGGTCGCCGTTGCCCAGTCTGCTAGCCTTCTCCAAATTCTGGGAGTTCTAGAGAGGCAAAGGGGAGGTTTAAGACCTCCTTTCGGGTTCGTTTAGTACACTCCGTGCACTATCAGTACAACTTTTCAAACAAACACAGATGCACTGGAAAAACAGTCAAGCCAATCCATTAAAAGAGTGCTGGAATTGCTTTCCAAAACGGCTCAGGTGCCGTTTCTGTGTACATGTGTGCCCTGGTGTGCTTCATGTCTTAATTTCAAGACAAGGATGAACGAGGTGCCAGGGTAGAATAGTAAAGCACACCCTCCCCTTCTCTCACCAGTACAAATTACCGAGGGGACAACACTTTCACCACCTGATGAGTCTACCTGGGCTGCTGTGTCTCCTCTTCAATAGAAATTCCAGATAACACTACCAACTTTTACTAGCAGTATCTTGATTGCCCATTTATACTTTTCACCCACCCTTCCCAGAGGCCTTACTGGACTGGCAGGGGCAGGGGCTGGCCTGGGTCCCAGTTCAGCTCAGCCACCATCTAGCACGGTGACCTTGGGCAAGTCGCCCCTGCAAGCCTCACTCATTGGCCCTGCAGATCGGGCCAGGAGGGACGGCCAAAGTCTTTCTCTGCTCTGAGTCTCCCAGAACTCCATGCTGCGTGAGGTGACTCGAGGCAATAGAAAAACATGCCTGCAATCCTGAAAGTCATTGTAAAGGGAAGGCAACTTTTCAGTGCTAGTGGTTTGTTTCAGTGCTGTGATGGAGCTGCTCCAAAGACTGAAATGGCAAAGAATTGACACGACTCAGGTTCCTAACAAGTCTGAGGAAGCTGGCCAGAGTGCTGAACCCAGCTGCTGCTCCCAACAGCCGTCAGACCTTGCTGGCTGCAAGGCTCAGACAAGAGCAGCGCCTACACCCTGCTGGTCAGCAAGAATACCCCAGGACAGAGGCAGCCCAGAGACAGACTTCTCAGCAAGCACCAGACATGATGCATGAGGCATGTAAACAGCTGGTGGAATTTCAGCGAGCATTGCCTTCGACAGTTCCCAGACCTGCTGGAGCTATATTTAGCTTAGGCGAGTTTGGGAGTAGCTTGGAAGGATGGCAGTGCCATTCAAATGTGTATTTATGGCACAGGGGTCTGGAGCAAAGAAGAGATTTCTTCAGTTCGGGACCTGGTGTGTGTCTCCGTGGAGGAGAAACTTCCTCATATTAAAAGGCTTGGTGTGTGACGGGGGCATGATAAGCCTTCTGAAACTGGGAACCACCAATTCCAGCTGGGAAGAGAACTCTACTTACAGTTTAAACCAAGCCCTCTGAGCCTCCCAGGCGCCTGGCTGAGCACTTTCTTCCCCGCAGTCCTCTGCTGAACAGTGCATTCACTCACATTGTATCCGTGGTTGCTGTGTTTTGCATTCCTGACTCTCAAAATCTTTAGTTTTCCTACACTTGCACCACAGCCGTACCCACTGCAAACATTAAACCCCCACCCAGACAAAGCGAATAGTGGGGCCTCTTGGGGAACCTGCCCTTGCTCGGGGAAGCAGGAATACCCCCCACACATGGTCTCAGCCGAGGAGCCCGGGCTGCACAGTTCCTTCCTCTGGCCTGAGGTCCAGCTTCCCTATTAACTCAGCCAACACTTCACTGAAGCTGAAGCATAAGACATTTTCTGCTTGGTGGGGTTTATGTCCTATTATTACTTTCTCTGCACATCACATGCCTCTCTGAGGGGCACAGGAGAATGTGTCTGGCGTAAGGCTGTGGGGAGGGTTCCCGGCCATTTGCAAAGGAGGAGGAAGGAGAGATCGAGTCATAAAGGAATCCATCCGAAGTCTCTTCCTCTGCCCTCCTGGGAGGGCCCGACACCCGAGAGTTCTCTCTTGCTCTGGAAACTTCCTTGGCATCCATGGACTCACTGCCAGCCTCCCCCTGGACGGCAGTCCCTCTTTTGTCTGGGGCTCAGCAGTGCTGCAGGGCGGATGCTTTCTCACCGTGGCTGAGGGCAGGATTGACAGGTTTTCCCACCCAGCCTTTCTGCTGCTCACCAAGCATGGGATGAGGCTGGAGGCGGGGCAGACTTTAATCAGCTCAAACTGTGGGTGAGTCAAATCAATGACTACCCCACTCTCCTAAACAATATCACAGCAGCCGTGATTTAGTTCTTGTTTCCATCAGGTGGGAGAAATCAGAATTGCACATGCAGACTATTCACAGCAATAAGGGAACGTGAACAAAGTATATACAAGCTCCCAGGTGGGAGAGCCTGCCTCCATGGTGACGACGGGACAGCTGGTTTGCCCAGGAGAGTCTCTTCGTGGGCACATCCCCTAAAGCTGGAGGGAGTAGCCACCCCCCCTTCAAGATACAGAATCTGGTCACAGATAGCAAGCATTCCCATGGAGAGGTGGAGGCGAGGGGGCCATTGGCCCTCTGGGTTCCCGGCAGTGGCAGGTAACCTATGCCTCCTGTGAGGACATTCCCAAAGTGCCCCTCGATGAACCTCAGAGGGCTCCTGAGCATCTTAGAAACAGAGCCGGAGCTCACCCCCCGGGGCTGGGCTCCTTGGCGGTAGGCGGGCCCCGGTTCCCCGGGCACGGCAGAAACAGGCACCGGAGCAACTCTGACACCCAGGGCAGAAGTGGACACCCGCAAAGCAAATCTTCAGGCATCTTCTCAATGCTCATTCTCAACACCACCCACGGCCCCTTCCAGAAAAGGCTGCTGGCGGTGGCCCAAACAAAGCCCCCCAGGGAGAAGCTGGGTGGTGAGAAGAGGGGGCAGGATGGGGAAACAAGCACCCCAGACATACAAAGAGAAGGGGGGAGACCCAGCTGACGCAGGTGGGGTGGGCTCCCATCACCCAAGCCCCGCGTTTGGCTGAGGTTCTATGGGCCTCTTTCCGAACCACCTCCTCTCGCAAGCCCCAGCCCCAGCATCGAGCCGTTGACCTTGCGTGGGAGTCTCAGGCTGATTTGCTGCTCTGTCTAGGGGAATCCCAAGGGCCTTGCAGCTTCAGGGGAAGAAATCTGCCTCATTGTCACAGCAATTGTTTTCCCCTCTCCACCCACCGCAGTGATCAAATTAGCAGGCTGCTTCTCCTCTGAGGAAATGTGTCCATGGTCCCGGAGGCACTGCCCGTTTGCCTGTCTGGCGGGTCTGGGGAAGGAAAGCAGAGATGTGCGTGTGCGTGTGTCCCTTCCTTCCCCGTCCCTGGGAGGGTCTCTCCCACCTGGGAGGGCTGCCCAGCCAGCAGCGAGGGCCACGGCGGCGGGCACTGGCGCCTCAGCTGCAGGACGCCTGGCAGGTGGCCGAGTACACGCTGCTGCTCACGGTGGCCCCGCTGCTCAGGCTGCTGGTGGGACACTTGAGGGGCTTCATGCTGCTGTCCCTCTGGATGTGCAAGTGCTCCAGCCGCCAGCGCTCCCAGCTCTTCCGAAACTCCATCTGGACCTTCCTCGGGGAAAGGAGGGGAACAAAAGCCATCATGCAAACCAACTGCCCACAGAATGGCCCCATTATTGCATTAGTGGGGAAGGGAAAAATCCACTGCATTATATTAAGAGACACAAGTCAAGGCCTTCGGGCGCCTAAATTAATATCCCAATAAAATTGTTTATTGTTGTCTCCTATTTTCTGCATCTCCTCAGGAGAGAGATGGGCTTGATGACCTAATGGGTCTCGTCCATCTCTAAACTCTGCGATTCAGCTAAGTACCTTTTACAATCCATCACGGCCTATTTAACGGAAGGGGGAGAGTGAGGGAGCAACGGAGACCGGAGGTGGAGGGAGAAGAGGAGGAGAGACAGCCTGACTTCGGAGCGCACTCTCTCATGCCAGCTCGGATGACTGAGAAGGAAGACAGTGCCGCTACCCTGCCGGTGCCCACCACAGACCCTGCTAAACTCCCAGGGGCTTCTATCCGGGCCCAGCACCACGCAGGGAGGGCGGAGGGAAGGAAACAGGGGAGAACAGCAGCAGCCGGGGGGGGGGCGGTGGTGGGGGCGAGCTCCCCCACTGGCCCTGTGCAGAGAGTCTGCTGTGACCAGTGACCATGGGGGGACTTGGTCAACCCCAATCCCTGCTGTGCCGGACTCTGCCCTCCCCATCAGGAAAAACCTTCTCAAGCGGGGAGGCTGATACTTGGGGACCAGATTGTTGGGACAGAAATACATTAATACAAATCCAAGCAATATTGCGAAGCCCCAACCCCCGGAGGGTTTGTGGAAATGCTGGGGCTCCCAGCGATGGCCAGTGACTCTGGTCCCCAAAGAGGCTGCTGGAACCTGCACAGCTCGTCCTGAGGGGTCTGGACTGCCCTTCTGGGTGATGTTTCCATAAGTTTGCTTTCCAGAGCTTCTTTGATGTCCTCCGCCCTGGCCCCCTCATCTTCCCACACCAGAGTTCTGGGGCCCGGGGGCTCTTCCCCCGAGGCTACGTCACCAGGAGGGCCAGCCGCCAGCAGCTGTGGGTAAGGGGCTTTCTGACACCCCCCCACCAGCCTCCATGCAAACAACCCTCCTCTGCTCCTCCTTTGTCATCCATCTAGCTGAGCCCAGCCAGCTGCCGGGCATGGCTGCATGCCATCCCTTAAAAGAACTTTTTCTGTGCTGAGTAGAGCTGAGATGGCCCAGAGCCTGCCTGCCAGCCCCAGCGTCACGAGCCCAGGCCCGGGGAGGGGAGGGAAGGAGGCCGGGCACACCCCACCTAGGCCCCCCGCTCTGTGCCAGCTCACTGCGCCACTGAGTGGGTGCGGAGCGAGTGCTGGCCGCTGGGATGGGGGCGCCCGAGACTGATGACAGTCCCTGCTTGTGCAGCGCCAGGGAGACCAATCTTGTCTCGAAACCCTCCTACTCAGGAAAAAGGGGAGAAAGATGGTAAACTGAGGCACACGTATAGGAAGCCACCTCAGAGACTGAAGAGGTCTCAGGGACACCCACAGGACTTCCCAGAGGGCTGACACTCGGTGTCCCCTTCTGCCCCCATCTCCCTCCGCATTTTTCCTGAACCTCGCTGCTATGGCTCCTATAATCACAATCGTCCTTGAGATCCACCATTTATTGGGCACTCACTACATGTCCGGCAGTTTCCATTGATTATCTCAGTTAACCTTCACGTCAACCCTGCCAAGCGGCTCCTGTTACTGTCCCACCCTTAAAGGTGAGGAAACTGAGGCGCAGAGTGTTCACGTACTTCCCCAGACCTCTCAGCCAGGATTTGAACCCAGATCAGGCCTAGCTCCAACGCCGGCTCCTGACCCGAGGCCTCCTGCCCGCGTGGCTCCCAGAGGTCCTGCTTGTCCCTGGCTGTGCCTCCCCTACTCGGCTGGACCGCCTCGAGGGCCAGGACACGCCTCCCTCCTCCCAGCGTCCCTGCACCCCCCACAGTGCCTGGCACACAGCAGGTGCTCAACACGTGTTTTCAATGAGCTGAATAAAAACAAACAAGTATATAAACGAGCAACTGACTTTGGCTCCTCCTGTTAGTTATGAAAATGACACAGCCAAGACATCAACACGGACCCTGGACATGCAGCCCAGCGCGTAGACCCACGCACGTCTTCCTCACTATCTGATGTCCCCTCGCCCCGCCCTCCAGGTATGCAGTGCCGCCAGCACCCTCTCGTGGTGGCAGAACCGGGCCACCGCTCAGGGCTCCCAAGTCAGCTCACTTTGGCTTCAGACACCAGCTCCTGCAAAGCCACCCCCAGGCCTCCCTCCCTGTCCCCACCCCCTGCCCGCCAGCAGCTGGCTCAGGCCTTGGCAGCCACACAGGACCAACCTCCAGGCCATCTTTTCTCCTCAGGTCACAAGTACCTGGCATTGCCATGGCAACCCTGGGGCTGGAGAACAGCTCGTGTGGACAGAGGCCTCAGCCCGGGAGCCACATGTGTCTTTCGTGGCCCAGTGATAGTGACATGTCTGTCCTTGTGTCTGGAGGAGCCAGGGTGTGAGCAGTGTCGGGGCGGGTTTAAAGGAACCAGGCGGTGCACGGAGAGGAGACGGGTCTCCAGCCCTCTCAGCGGGGTCTCCTGGACCCCACAGCACGAGCCCGGGACAGCCCGCAGGGAGAGGCCAGCCGGGCCTGCAGCCAGGCCTGGGGAGAGAGATGCAGCTCTGGTGATTTGGGGCCAAGTTCCTTGCCAAGGGCAGAGCAGGGATGTGTGTCCGTCCCTCCCCGCTTGCAGAGGTGAGCCAGTGTGGGTGGCGGGCAAGGAGGGAGGTGACTGGGTGCTGGACATGCAGGTAGGGCTGTGTGAGTGTGTCGCTACAGTGTGGCTTTGGGGACAGAGGACAGAGAGGGGCCGAGGGGACAAGGTGGCAGTAGGGAGCCTCAGTCTCTCCCAGGGGCCTCTGCTCCTCATCCCCACCAGGGACACATGCCGCCCTGTCCCTGTCCCCGTCTCACCCCCAGGCTGGAACATGAAGCAGCAGGGCTCAGGGCTGGCTCCGAACAATTGCTGAAGGGAGGCCGCCCCGCAGGGCTTGGCTTCAGTTTTTGAGAAGTTCTTTATGAGGACTCAGCCGGGGGGGGGGAGCCAGGGCTGCGGCCTCCTGCTGCCTCCCGTGGGTCCTGGCCTGCTGGGTGCGGCCCCTCCCCTCCTTCCCCGGCCCACCCTCCGGAGGAGCCTGCCGGGCCCTCTGAGACCAGCCCACAGGAGCAGAGCCGGAATCCCACTTGTGGACCACCCTGTGCCTGGCGCCGCCTCCACTCCCAGCCCTGGCTGCCCTGAGGCCTTAGTGGGATCCCCACCCCACCTGGCACCAGCCCACCAGCTCTGAAGCCTTCTAGCTGCTGATTGGGACTATTTATTTCACTTCGCTGAGCCTTACTTTTCCCATCTGTAGATTGGGCTACCATCTGCTGCACGGCACTGGGTATCATAAAACACTTGTGAACCTTACACGCATTAAGCACGTAGTTGATATCTAGTTGGTTTCCTCCCTTTTGGAGACCTGAAGTGCTCCAAGTCCATCCTTCCATAGGAAGCCAGCACAGGGGTGGCAAAAGGAGGCCTTGGGGACAGGGGAACCCCACCCCTCCCTTTGGCCCAGCCTGACTTTCTCTGTAGTGTCCTCTTAAATTTCCTAGGCCCGAGCCTCTGGGAGTCACTGGATGCTGGAATGGGTCTAAGTAGCCACTTGCTGAGCGTCCAGAGATGGGGTGTGCGTCTCTTCCCGCCCAGCAGCAGCTGTGAGGAGCTGGAGGGCCTCAGCACCCCACTTTGAGGAGGGGGTCTGTTCTCCATTCCCTTGTTTCCCTTCTTCAGACTTTACCTCACTTAATCCTCAAGGGGATCTCATAGGCAGGCATTATTATTACCCCCATCTTGTAGATGAGGAAACTGAGGTTCAGAGTGGGCATGTAACTGACCCAAAGTCACACAGCTCGTGAAGTGACAGGGCCTACATCAGAGCAGAAATCTGATGCCAAAGCCTGCAGCTCCTCGTCTTTCCTGCTACATCACATTACTTTTTGAGCCATCTCACAGCTCCATGAAATACTCAGGTGTCTGCTCCCTGTCCCCTTTGTGCCCCCACACCCATAGAAAAGACACGTCTATGTTGATACATCGATGCTAAGATCTCTGAGCTCTGGGAGTCCAGGCTCAGTGACTCAGAAGACACACAAAGAGCCCTGGGTCTTTGGGGACCAGGGTCCCTGTGCCACCCGAGCCCCAGCCCCGTAGCTGAAAACCCTCACCCGGGCCAGAATGGAGTTAGAGTCCTCAATGTCCTCCCAGACCGTGGGGTGGAGGTTGCCAACGCCCTCCTCCTGCTGGGTGAACCCTCCTGGGGACACCTCCCCAGTGAGCCCTGCAGCTGCCCCTGCAACTTTTTGTTTTCCCCTCTGGAAGGAAATTGGGGGAAGCGGGGCTACGGTATTTGTGACACTCAGTTTGATGTCTTGGGAGGTGCCCCTGTTCTTGAGCACCCTGTTCTTGAGTACACAGGCAGGAGCCCCGGTCACCTGTGGGACAGGGGGTGCTTGCCTCCGGGGGCTTCCTGGTGCTGGGGTCGGCCTTCAGCACCCCATGGGACGGGAGAAGGGGTCCTTGCTGGCCCGTGCCCTCTCCCCCAGCCTCTGGCAGGGCACAGCCCGCCCTCCCCTCTCTGAGACGGTCAGCTTCTAGGGTTGGGGATGGTCTGTGTTCATGGGCACCTGGGAAAGGCCCCTCTCCCCCCCAGGTGCCCAGCTTTGTGCTGGGGCAGGTTTCTTACTCTCTCTCTGATCTTCAATGTTCTCACGTGTGAAAAATGGGAATATTGAAATCAGGATTTTAGCAAGGTTTTTTTGGGAGGAGAAATGAGGGTGCCCATTAAATGAGATAGTAATTATTAAAGCCCCAAGCATGAGGCCGTGTGGCTTGGGCATGCGTGTGCAGAATCGCTTTGTGACAGACAGTCCCCACCACCCATCAATTCGCTCAGGACCCCCTAACATGAGGCCAGGCCTTCCCCAAGCTCGTACACCGTCAGGGCATGTCTGGACACGTGTGCATGTACGTGCACGAGAGAGAAAGACCTACGCACAGAACACGACCTGTGGGCACGATGCCCCCTCAACAGTAGTGCCTCAGTGGGGCGGGCAGGGTTTCAGCTGGAAGGGCTGACGGGAGGCCCACTGCACTCCAGACTAGCCAACAGTAGCAACCCACCAGGGTCCCCTTCCCTCCCCAGACCTTACCTCGTTGTTGACAAAGCAGTATAAGATGGCCACCATCAGCCCCTGGGAACGAGAGTCCTGTCAGCAGGGAGGAACGGGGAGGCAGGTGCCCCGCAGCAGGCCCTGGAAGGAAGCGCCTTGGGGCTCCATCCCACAAACCCCTCCTCAACCCCTGGGTCTGCTGGGGTAGCAGGCTCCGTCTGTCTCATTCCCTTTCTGCAGGAGCAAGACGGCCCCTTGCTCAGACACTGCAAAAGTTCTATAGCACCCTCTCCTGAGGAGGCCTGGCCCCAAGAAGTACCCCGACTCTGCATGCAGAGAACGTTCCCCACCCAGCCCCCTTTGTCCACTTAAGAGACCTCACGCCTCAGAACTGTGTCCTCTGTGTGCGTGCGCCTGCACATGTATGTAAACGCACACACGTGAGCCCACGTGCTGTAGGAACCCCATAACACTCTTGCAGCTCTGGGACGAGTTTCTTATATTTTCACGTGCCCGTACCATCCTCTAAGGCCAGTGGGGAGGATCAGTTCTTTGTTTTGAAACTATGTGACCCTGTAACTCTTGTTTTCACATCTCTGAGCCTCAGTTTCCCCCCTTGTAAAATGGGGTAATCCTGCACATCTCCTGGGTTCTGTGAGATGAAATGCACAATGTATGCAAAGCACCTGGCAGGTGCCCGCCACCCAGTAGGTGGCAGCTGCAATGCCAGGCTGGGTGCCAAGGATACATCCAGGAAGGCTTCTTGTCCCATGTACTTGCGGAGAAGACTTGGGACACCTGGGGATACTAGTTCTGGCTCTGCTGCAATCATGTGACCTTGGGCAGGGGTCTGCCCATCTGTCCCATCCGCATGACGCAGGCTGGTGTCGCCCCAGCCCCACGCCCACACTCGGAGAGCAAGTGCTCCCAGCCATGAGGTCACCTGGAAGGATGTGAAGGAGAGCTCTGTGAACAGCTTGATGAAGCGCAGGGTCCCCCGGGCATGCTCGTCCATCACGAAGGCAAAGATGACCTCGTGGGTCCCCAGTAAAGGGATGAGTGTCAGCGTGGACTTGGCAAGTCTGCTGGGCAGAGCGGAGACCTCTGGAGTCATTCTGGACCTCTCCCATGGATCCTTCTCCCCTTTCCATACCCTCCCCTTCCTACCAGGCTCTGGCACCTGAGACACGGACACTCTCCCAGCCCAAATACCCTGGGATAGGCTGCCTAGAGGGAAGGCAGAGAGGTCAAGACCCCCAGATACCCAGGGGCTGCCCAGGGACAGGGTGAAGGCAAGGCTTGGGGGTCCCAGGCCAGGCCTGGGTGGGAAAAGAGGGTAGCACAGGGCTCCAAGCTAAGCACCCCAGGGTCTCTCTCTCTCTCTCTGCTGGAAGGAAGGGCCAAGGGTCCCCAGTGAAGCCAGCTCAGTTATGGCACCTGCATTTGATGTCCGTCTTGCACATGAGATTGGCCTTCAGTTTGGACACCACGATGCAGATGACCCGGACAAAGATGAGGAAGTTCACCTGCAGGGCAGATAGGCGGGAGGCTGGGGACCCTCTCGCTCTTCCCCATCCTTCCTCAGACACCAGCCCAGGATCCCCCGCAGCTCCCCACCCCACCCCCACTCCAACACTCACCCCGATGGCAAAGAGAATGGGCAGCCGGATGATGAGCCAGTAATTCATGTTTGAGTTCCTGGTCCAGCAGCTGGGGAGGGGGGAGAGGCACCCATACAATCCAGCTGGACTCGCAGAGACCCCGGCTCGTGGCGCAGGCACGAGGGCCCCAAAACACGTGGGCATGTTGAGTGCCATGCACACAGCCACCAGGAGCCACCAGGAGCCACACAGTAACCAGTCCCACTGATCCATGAACAGCCCTCCAAGTGCACAGCCACACAAAACACACACACACAGTCATGCATGGAAACACGTACAGCCTCCAAACAAGTTTCCACGGACCTAGAACAGTCATGTGTGCACCCAGCATCACACACAACATGACAGAAACATGTCACTTGCACATATTACAGTAAAACCTGCAGGAGGGCACCACGTACTCCGCAGACCCTGCACCACTTGTCACCATGCAATCCCCAGGCAGGGGCAGGGGCCCGGGTAGGGAGGGGAGGTTAAAGAACTACGATAAGTTCGTATGTTAAATCGATTGTCCCTCTGTTTATCCTCTCCATAGGTGGAAGCCACATGCCCCAGGGGCCAGGGAATCCCATGGGCTTTGAGGATGGGGACCTTAGCACACCCCTCCTGGGAGTGGGACACTCACCCCTCATCCTCATAGAGGTACTTGACAACGCCCCAGGGGACAACAAACAGCAGGGGAACACCTGGGAGGAGAGAAGGATAGAAAGAGGGGAGAGGGGCTGGCAGGCTGAAGCCACCGCCCTAGGCCCCTCACGCCCCAGCCCTGCTCCTTGCCTGCCCCAACCACGTTTTCCAGGTCGGTCTGGGTGCCTGGGAGAACACAGGCAGCAGGAACCCCACGCCAACTCCCAGACTCTGCCTTAGAGAGGGGTCCTCAGCAGTCTGCCCCTCCCGGGTGCCAGGCACACTGTCGGGACTTGCCCTCAGGGCCCTGGCTGAGACACCAGGGACACAGACCCCTGCGCGGCAGAGGGACAGGTCACATGGTGGGCAGGGCGTGCTGCATGAGGCAGAGAGCCGGCGCACTCTCTGGTGTCCTTCTCCTCCCACGCGCCCGTCTCAGCCTCAGTCATCTGTTCCCTGCCCCCTGCCCCTGCCAGTGGCCTGGGCAGAAGCCCGGAATAGAGACGGGAACCCTTTCCTTGGTGCCAACAGGCCAACTCCCTGTCCATGGCGGCCTGCAATGACAATAGCTACCACGACACTTCCACTTGGCTGGGACTTGAGGGAGTGGAGACAGCCTCTCAGGTCACCCCCCACGGTCCCCACCTCCTGCTGCCATGCCCTTGTGTAGTCCCTGTGCTACCAGGGTTGGTTTGTGGGACCAACAACATATGGCAGAAGTGGTGGCACGTCACTTCCGAGATTAGGGCATGAGAGACACTGTGGCATGGCATGAGCTCTCACCCTCTCTCTCACGTCACTTGATCTGGGGGAACCAGTTGTCACGTCATGAGGGCACCTGGCAAGGAATGGAGGCCCCCAGCCACAGCCAGCAGGGACCGGGCCTTGCAGCCGGTGCCTCTGAGCGAGCCTGGAAGCAGCTTCCCCACCTCGGCTAAGCCTCCGGACCCGGCAACCCCAGCGTACGGCTTGGCCGGCCCGTCGGAGATCCTGGGCCAGAGGTACGCAGCTAAGTCGGACCCAGACTCCCGCCCACAGAAACTTCATTATTTTAAGCAGCTAAGTTTTAAGGTGGTTCGGCAGCAGCAGGTAACTAACACAATTGGTTTCCGGTTCCTGGAGGGTGGGCCCAGGCCTCGCTCCCCAGCAGAGCCTCAGAGGCGCTCTGTGTTGGTGGATTTAAAATCGGATGGTCCGTCCTCACGTGACGGATGGGGAGATGGATCCTCTCGGAAGGGCACCCTCGGGGCTGGAATCCAGGGCTGCACCCCCACGCCCACTGTGACCGCCCTCCCCCCACACCGTGGGTTTCTGCACGACTGTCCCCACGCCCGCCTCCCCCAGCCCTGGACACGTGAGTGTCCTGGGTGCGTAGACAGACGTGTGCGCGTCCGCGTGCGGTGCGTGGCGCGTGTGTGCAGGTGTGGCTTTCGGGGGTCTCCCCCAGGAGCACATTTCCAGGGCAGAACCACGTCGGAGCCGTCCGCGTCACCACGGCCAGCATTACCCCGCACACTGGTGTCCACTCGGGGCAGTGAGGGACGCTCCTGAGCTCGACACTCCGGGGAGGGAGGCGGCAGAGACGCTCCCAGCCAGCCCCCTCCGGCCCGTTCATTTTCACACAGCCAGGCCCCTCGGCCTCCACAGCGCTTAGGAGCAGGCCTTCCTGACACTGGGCGAGGAACAGCGGGATGACCCCAAAGGCCCCGGCGCACGGCTCGGGCCCCACCGCGTGGAGGATGCTCAGTGAGAGTGCAGTGAGGGGTGGGTGAGGGGGCCAACGCATCAGTGAGGGAGGGAAGCTCTCCAGGCAAGAAGACGCCAGCTCGCTAAGCCACACACACCCAGAAACCTCCTTCTCAGGCCTCCCCAGCCACCTGCTGTCCCTCCTCTCTGAGACCCCGCTCCAGGGCCGGGCAGCTCACTCGTGTCATCAGCCAGTCCTGGGGAGCTTCGCTCATCCATCAGCATTTCTTTAACAAGGGCGTTTTTTTAAGAACACAGGCACAGCCCTGCCACGTGCAAACATTGCACACTCCCTGCTGGCTTCATCTTTCTCCCATTTAGAAAGCCAGCAAGACGGGCTAGAGAAAATAAGCTCAAATTAAGACACACAGAACCGGCCTGGGAAGTAAGGACTCTCCCGTCCCTCTCTCCCCCCGCCCACGCGGCCTCCCTGTGGCGGGTTTCTGGGGACACCTCGGCCTCCACGGCGGCGCTTAGGAGCAGGCCTTCCTAACACTGGGCGAGGAACAGTGGGATGACCCCAAAGGGTCTGACTGCCCCCGGACTGCGGCAGAGGCTGCCGTGCCTTTCGGGGGCTCCCCCAACCTTGTCAGCGTCCTAATTTTAATTCTTCTACTTGCACGTGAAGCTAAAAGTTGTTTCCCAAGCATCCCAACTTAAGCAAAGCCTCCCGGCATCATGGCCCAGCTCTCAGAAATCTGTGAATGTGTCCTTGTCCCTCCTTTTCTGTCTCTCCCACCCCAATTCCTCAAGAAAAGGATGTTCTGATGGGAGGAGGGTGTCCCCTGGGTCCGGCCCTTGTGCTCCCACAGACCCTGAGCCTGAGCTGGGGGGGAGGTGGCAGGAGGACTGGCATCCCCTCCCCCAACTCGCCCTCAGAGACCTCAGGGCACCAAGTGTCCCCACCAACCCCCAACCAGCCACCCCGCTCCTCTGCACACATCACGCTGTCCCGGTGATTGTTCCTGTCCTTGGGTTGCCATGGTGACAGGCACTAAGCGCTGATGCCATTTCCCAGAATGGACAGATGCCATCCCGGACCTAAAGACAGCATTCCCGGGCTCTCCTAGATGGCCCGCCTCCACCCTGCCCCTAGTGAGCTGGGGGCTCTGGCAGGAGGAAGAAGCCTGGGGGGGGGGAGGAAAGGTCGAGCAGAGGGGCTGGGTGCTGGGGAGGAGGAGGATGGGGAGGGCCCGGGATCTGTGTGCAGGAACCGGGCCCACCTGCCCTCCGATGTAGAGGCTGAGCCCACTCGGCCCAGGCCAGAGAACTGTGCGAGGCTGCCCGGGAGCCAGAACGCTGGGGTCCCAGGTCCGGCTCTGCCTTTCTGTCCCTGACCCTTTCTCAAGACACTGATCACATCAAAACCTCCTTAGAGCTACTCTTCTCCGAGGGGGCTGTAAGTGCAGGTGGCTGAGGAACACCAACAAAAATGAATGAAGTACAAGGACAGGGGACAAGAAGGGTACGAGGGCCAGAGAGAGAGCACAGAACCCCGAGGGCTAGGGCCTGGGCAGCTTCCTGGCAGCCTGGTGTGGGAAGGGTGCCCCAAGAAAGTTCCTGCTCGGGGAACAGCCTCACAAGGGCTCAGAGGCAGGAGCAGAATCAGGGAAGAAGGGGACATTGAGGGAGGAGTCTGGCTGCAATGGACCTGGGAAGTCCCCGCACGCGGGGGCAGCAGTGGTCAGAGTAGGCTAAGCAGGAGGATGTGGGGGCAAGGGGTGAACGAATGAGTGACAGGCAGGGCTGTGGGGGACAGGGAGCCAGCAGACTCAGCGGCAGATTAGGGAGGGCTCGTTCGGGGCGGAGCCCGTCCTCCGGCTGCATTCCAGGTGGGTGCCTGTGGGCACCCCCAGGAGAACCTGCTGCCCTGCTTTCCCGGTCGTGCACGGGATCCCAGCCCCCCCACCCAACCCAACCCTGGCCCTTCTCAGAATCCCACATGGCGAGAGGCAGAAGCACAACCAGAAATGTTCCAGCAAAAAAAAGAGACACGATGGTTCTTGGCAAACTTTTTTGGCTAGAACATTTCCAGCTGGGCTCCAGGCACATCTGCGGCCCACCCCTTTCCGTGGCTGGCCTCTGCTCGCCCTGCCCTGCCCTGCCCTGCCCTACGTGGCTCTCCTCTGAGCCTCCCCTTCATCATCACGGGACAGAGCACCAGCCCTCCCCTTCGGACTTTGCCCCTCCCTCTCACCCCTCCCCACCTGGAGGCCCAGGACTCACCATTTCCCTCCGGGCCCCAGGCTGCCCAGGACTGGATGTAGGGCTCTGTCCCCATATGGCCTTAGGAGCAGGGGCATTTGAGGACAGTGCCATGACCTCTGATGGTGTGCATGGCAGTGCAAGGAGGTGACATTTGGCCAGATAGGGGTGGAGGCTTCTATCGATGGAGGAGAGTTATGCAAAGAGGGAGGACCATAACCCCTGCGGTGCCTTAGCAGCCCATGGGCAGGGGTCCTCTGCCCAGGGTGGGGTTATCCAGTGGGCCCCACCCCTTGGCCCAGCAGTTACGTTCTCAGTAACAAGTTGAAGAAGAGGTCAGGGTCTCCTGCCTCCACGCCACAGGTCCAGGGTGGGTGACATGAGACCTTACCCCAGCCGATGCTCACGTAGAGCCTGAAGACACGCTGCTCGGAGAAGACCGAGAGGGCCAGCAGCGTGTACAGGTACACGCCCTCCACCAGGAGCCAGTAGTAGTTGGCCGCCACGCAGTACTGCATGAGCAGGAACACCAGGCGGCAACCCAGCGAGTCCTGGGGGCAGAGGAAGGGTCTCTTGGGGACAACAGCTCTAGCCCCCCACCTCTTTTTCAATTTTTTTTGAGTCCCAGGCTGGAGTGCAGTGGCCCGATCACAGCTCACTGCAGCCTCAACTTCCTGGGCTCAAGTGATCCTCCTGCCTCAGCCTCCCAAGCAGCTGGGACTATAGGCATGCACCACCATGTCTGGCTAATTTTTAAAATTTTTTGTGGAGACCAAGTCTCACTATGTTGCCCAGTCTGGTCTCAAACTCCTGGACTCAAGCAGTCCTCCCGCCTCAGCCTCGCAAAGTGCTGGCATTACAGGCATGAGCCACGGTGCCTGGCCACCCCGTTGCCTCCCTTGATGCCCCTCCCATCCTGCCCCAGCTGCTATCCTGCCATGGTTACTGTGGGCCCAGAGACACGTGTCTCTCTTGTCTCACGTCTGGAGAAGACGTGTCTCACGTCTTCTGGCCAGGGCTAATGCCAAGAACTTGATCTGCTTTAGCTCACTGAATCCTCACTATCCTGAGCGGTAGAAAGTAACATTGTCTCCATTCAGGTGAGAACACTGAGCCTCAGGGAAGTGACTTGCCCCAAATTCTACTGCTAGTAAGTGGCAGAGCTGGGATTCAAACCCAGGTCCGTCTCCAAAGACTGAGAACTCCCTGGGGCAGTGTCTCCTCCCTTAGCCGGGAGCCTCCCAGGTAGATTGCCTCTCTCTTCAGATTGGAAGGTCACCCCAGGTGGACTGCCTTTCCCACCAGAATGGGGGGCTGCAAGGTGGGTGACCCCTCCCACAGGGCAGGGGCTCCCTGAGGGCCAGGGCTGGGCAGCTCCTGCCCTCCCGTCCCAGCCTTCTCCGCCTGCCCATCCCCCGGGACGCAGCACGCACCTGGTAGGACAGGAGCCCATCCCACTGGTGCTGCTGCGCGGCCGTGCTGTACATCCACTTGAGGGCGGCATCCTTGATGAAGACGGACAGTGCTCTCAGGATGAAGGACGCAAACAGGTTCAGGTGGATGTAGTTCCGGGTGCAGCGCAGGTGTCTGAGGGAGAAAGCACAGGGCCCTTCCCTGGCAAGATGGCCGACGGTTCTGCTCTGCGCTCCCCAACTCTCAGGCTAACGCACGGCATCAGGCATGTTTCCAGCTCTGGGATCGTGCTCCTTCCTGTCTTCCTTCCTCTGTGAATGCCCTTCTTCCCCATAACCCTGAAAACCCTCTGTCCAATTCAAGTCCTTCCTGGCCATGAAGCCTTCAGCAGTGTATTCACTGCCCCTTCTCCCACCTATATTCTAGCCTTCTCTCTGCAGCATGTTCTTCTATACAAAGTCATGCATAATCAAAGAGATTTATGCATGAGGATCAGTTTCCCCAATGGGGACTTTGCTTTTTCATGACAGAGGCAGACCCAGGCTAGACACATGGTAGGAATTAAGAAAGCACCGGATACAATTACAATATCCTTTATGTAAAAATGCACAGCAAACTGGAATTACAAGGGCATTTTTTAACCTTATCTATCTACCTAACTGGGAGCAAACCTCGTTTTTAACTGAGAAAATTTGGAGCCATTTCCCTTAAAATCAGAAACAAAATAAGGATGTCTGTTATCATCACTTCTGTTCAACATTATAGCTACAGATCCTAACCACTATAATACAGAGAGAGAAAAAATGTATAAGAATTGGAAATAAACAAAATGGTTATTGTTTGTAAATGATGGATTTTCTTCATAGAAAATCCAAGAGAACCTACAAATTATTAGATCTAATAAGAGAGTTCAGTTACTGATATGTATATTTATGTACACCAGCAATAAAATTAAAAAGTATACTTAAAAAAGAATTCATTTGCAATATTTTTAACTTACTACCTAGAAGTAAGTCTAACAGATGACAGGCAAGATCTCTATGAAGAATATTATAAAACTTGCTTAAAACCATTAGAGAAAACTTAAATTAATGGGAGATAGACAGATACACCACATTCACAGATAGAAAGACTCACTATCTGGAAGGGGTCAATCCTCCCCCAAGTTAATTGACAAATTCAATGCAGCCATAATAAAAATTCAAACAATATTTTTAATGGAACTTTAAAAACCTATGAAGAAGAGTCAAGGTCCAAGAATAGTCCAGATACTCCTAAAGAACCACAAAGTAAGAGCCTTTGCCATATGAGAACTAAGACCTCTAGTAAATCTATAGTAGTTAAGGCACCATAGTATTGGGATGGACATAGAGAAATAGACCAACAGAAAAGAGTACAGATGACAGAAGCCAATGCATGTGCACATGAAACCTCGCTGCGTGATAGAGTAGGCATTGCACACCAAGGGGGAAAGAATAGGCTATAAATAAATGGTACTGAGGCAGTTAATTATATATAGATATATATATTAATAGTATATATGGAAAAATCAAATTAAATTCCTTATTTTCACCATACACAAAAACAAATTCCAGGTAGATCAAGGAAACATAGGGAAGAACAAAACTCTGAAACTTTTAGAAGAAAATATAGGTGGCCATCTTTATGTCCCTAAGATAAGGAAAGATTTTTAAAATATGACCATAAAAATTTTGTTCTTTGGAAAAAAATTGATAATTTTTAATCAATCAATAAAATTAATTTTATCAGTTGGTAACATTTATTGATAAATTTTATCAATACAAAGCTGATAAATTTCATTCCATCGAAACTAAGAACTTCTGTGCATAAAAAGCACCATAGAGTGAAAAAGTAAGCCACAGACTAAGAGGGTACATCCTGGGTTAGTATCCAGAATATAGAACGGATGTTTAAAATGAAAAAGAAAAATCCAAACAAGCCAATAAAAAAGTAAGCACAGGGTATGAGCAAGCAATTCACAGTATAAATCACAAAAAAAATGCCTGTTCTCTCTAGGAAGCAGGGGTATGCGAATTACAATCCTAATGAGGTTTCACACACTTCAGATTAGCAACAAGTATGTCTGAACAGACTACAAACTGGTGATAATGTCAAATAAAGGAAACTCTCTTTTATTACGGGTGAGAGGGCAAATTGGCACAACTGTGAAGAGCAACTGAACAGCACCCAGTAAATTTGCAAAAGCAGGTGGTTTTCAAACCTGGCGATTCCACTCCTAGGTACATGTCCCAGAGAAATGCACAAGGGGTCATAGGTAAGAATGCTCATTGTACTAATGTTTATAATTCAGAAAGAAAAACAGAAAATAACTCAAATGTCCACTACAGGGATAACAGATAAATTAGCTGTACTGTATCATACAATGGAATATGGAATAACAGTTAAAATTAATGAACTAGACCTACCTATATCAACATGAATGAATCTCACAAAAACATGTCGGAGCAAAAAAAAAAAAAAAGATCTGAATGTGTGTCCCTCCAAAATTCATGTTAAAGTTGAATCCCAAATGCAATAGTATTAAGAGATGAAGACTTTGAGGGGAGACTAGATCATGAGTGCTCCGCCCTCAGTAATGGGATTAGTGCCCTTACGAAAGAGGCCTAAGTGAGTTTGCAAGCCCTTTTTCCCTTCTGTCCTATGGTGACACCATGTCCAAAGCAGGCAGCAAGCCCTTAGTAGACACCAGATCTGCTGGTGCCTTGATCTTGGACTTCTAGGCCTCTAGAACTGTGAGAAATAAATTTCCATTATTCATAAATTACCCAGTCTAAGAGTAATAACGGAAGGCACAGACTAAGACGGCAATTGGTACAGAGAGTGGCGTGCTGGAGTAACAAATACCTAACAATGCGGAAGTGGCTTTGGAACTGGGTGACAGGCTAAGGCTGGAAGAGTTTGGAGAATCAGGCTGGAAGAAGTCCACATGGCCATGAATGGAGCCTAAAGGGCAATTCTGGTGAGAGCTCAGAAGATGGGAGCTGTATAGAGAGTCTCGATCTTCCTAGAGATTAAGTGGTTGTGAACAGAATAATGGTAGAAATATGGAGTAAAGGCCATTCTGACCAGGTCTCAGACAGAAATGAGAAACATGGTGTTGGAAACTGGAGGAAAGGCCATCTGTGTTATAAAGTGGAGAAGAACTTGGCTGAATTGTCTCTGTGTCCTAGTGTTTTGTGGCAGGAGAAGCTTATGAGGAATGAAATAGGATATCTGGTGGAAGAAATCTCTTAAGCAAGGTGTTGAGAGTGTAGCCTAGCTTCTCTTGACTGCTTATAGTAACATGCAAGAAAAGAGAAACATATCAAAGATAGAATTTATAATTAAAAGGGAAGCAGAATTTAAAAGATTTGGAAAACTCTCAGCCTGGCTATGTTGTAACGAACACAAAAGCATGTTCAGGACAGAATATCAAGGCTGTGGCCAAGTGAACATTTGATAAGATTAGTATGGGTAGAAGAAGCCAGGTGTTACTCATCCAGAAAATGGAAGAATAACCCTGAAGGCACTTCGGAGAACAGAACAGGTTTAGGGGAAGGGGCCAAAGGCATTGTGAGACTAGGGGACCAGCAGACTCATGGGTATGGTAGAGCCACCAGTGTGCAATCCAGCCTGGGAGAGCAGCCGTGTGAGCCGTGCCAGCAAAGCCGTGGGAGTGGAGCTGCCCAGAACCTTGGGTCCACCCTCCGCCTCAGTGTAGCAGGAAGGCAGGGCATTGAGTCGAAGATTGTTCTTGAGTTTAAGATTTAACATTATTTGCCCTATTGGGTTTTGGACTTACTTGGGACCAGTTATCCCTTCCTTCTTTCCTATTTCTCCCTTTTGAAATGAAAATGTCTATCCCATGCCTGCCCCCACCATTTCGTTTTGGAACCACATGGCTTCTCTGATCTCACAGGTTCACAGCAGGAGAGCACTCTCCCTCAGGATTAATTGTGCCTTGGGTTCCCCCCATACCTGATTTAGATGCTATTTAGATGAGACTTTGGACGGAGACTTTAAAGTTAATGCTGGGATGAGAACACTTCTGGGGACTATTGGGTTGGAATGAATGTATTTTGTATGCAAGAAGGACATAAATTTGGGGGGACCTGGGGTTTAAGTGTTGTGTCCCTCCAAAATTCATGTTGAAACTTAATTCCCCATGCTATAGTGCTAAGAGGTGGGGCCTCAAGAGGGCTCCACCCGCATGAGTGGAGTTAATGCCTTAGAAAACAGGACTGAGGCCCGGCGCGGTGGCTCACGTCTGTAATCCTAGCACTCTGGCAGGCCAAGGCGCCAGGATCGCTCAAGGTCAGGAGTTCAAGACCAGCCTGAGCAAGAGTGAGACCCCATCTCTGCTAAAAAAAAAAAAAAGAAAAGGAAAAAGAAATTATCTTGACAACTAAAAAAATGTTTAATGAAAAAAAATGTATATATTAACAAAAAGAGGACTGAGGGAGTTTGTGAGCCCCTTTCACCCTTCTGCCCTTCTGCCATGTCAGGACACATTGAGAAGGTGCCGTCTTGGTAGCAGAGGGCCTGCTAGACACCAAATGTGCTGATGCCTTAATCTGGACTTCCTCGTCTCCAGAACTGTGAGATATACATTTCTGTTATTTATACCAGTGTAAGGTATTTTGCTATAGCAGCAGGAATAGACTAAGACAAATATGCACAACATGCTATTAAAAAGACAGAAAACCTTGCTATGTATTTTTACAGACATTCATGAATGTGATAAAAGTATAAGAAAACGTGTAGGAATTAACAAGGGGCACAGTAAGAGGTTACCTCTGGCAGGGGCAGGGCAGGGAGGGGTACTGGTCAGAGAGGGGACCCAGGGCAGTGTAACCATATGGGATGTGTTATTTCTCAGGCTGGATGGATGGTGTGCACGGGAGTGACCATAACGGCAGTCATCTCTCTGAACCTTGAAATACTTCATAGTAAAAAGAAGAATATTCACAGAGGGAATGCATTTATTGAGCACTGTGTGTGTAGGACGGTGCCAGGTGCCTTGAAGGAGGGAGGGGAAATGCTGCCCGTCCCCCTCTTGCTCCTGGTGTCCCGAGGTCTGACTGCTTCAGAGCCCCTCCCCTCCTTGCACCCTGCCCCTCTGCTCCACCCCTACCGAGCGCAGAGGGAGGCTCTCCCTAGTCTGGAAGGATGGAAGGAACGCCTCATCTCAGTGAGACCTAAAGAGGAACTTTTCCACTGGCGCTGACAAGCTCCACGGAGAGCAGGACCTCTGATCCCCGAGATCTTTTCCGAAATCACCCTGGACTCTTGATTATTAAAGTTACACACACTGGAGAGGCTTTCCCGGGATTTTCCATAATCCTTCCACCCCCTGTTAAGGGGCGGTGATGCCTGTGTGTGTGTGTCTTTTTTGCGGTATACATACACACACTTACACAGTGGAGATTAGACTAAGCACACGGTGTTGGGGCCTGTGTTTTGGCCGCCATCTTCTACGGTGAAGGCTCTCCAGACGGCTCCGGAGAGAAGCGCTTGCTGCACGGTCACTCTGGCTCGGCGGTCCTGTGCTCTGCCTGGGGAGCGAGGATGCTGCAGCCCCTTCCGGGGTCCCGGTCTCCTTACCTGAAGCCGAGGAGGATGGCCGAGGCGACAACGAGTGCGCAGAAGGAGAGCGCGTAGCCCACGGTGTAGATGATGTACAAGGACAGGAGCTGCTCCTCCGGGGAGCTCTGTGTGACACAGGGGACACGAGTGTACGTGGGAAGCCCATGGCCCTCTTCCCACATTCTCCTTTCCCATGGGGCAGGGCAGAGCTGGGGCTCCAGGTCAGGCCCCGCTGGGGATAGCAGAACCAAGAAACAGAATACCCCGTGGCGATGGTTCTCAGATTTCTTGGGCCCTGTTCCAAAGCCAGAGAGGTGAACACACACCACCTTTGACCAGAAAGCATGGCATGCAAAGTCCCCAGAGGTGACCAAAGCAGGGCCCGCTAGAAGCTCAGGGTCTCTGCTCCTATGAACCTAGGACCTTGATCCCCCCCCTCCCCAGCTCAGAACCCACATCAACTCACTCTCTCCCCTCGCTTGGACTCCTCACACTCCGACAGGTCCCTCCAGGGCAGGCTGGAGTTGTCCTTGTGCAGCCAGAGGCCCTCGGCTGTGCAGAACCGGTACACATGGCCCTGCAGCACTGGGCGGGGAGACCTGGCAGCTGAGCCTCGGCCCGGGGTCAGGCAGCCCGCCCAGTGCTAAACACCCCTCGCTCCTCCCCGTCCTGGGGGTCGCCCCTGCTCCACCAGGACTGACCCCTCTCTGTTAGTAACACCCTCTTCCCCTCTGCACACACGCATGCACACACTCACACACTCACATGCACACGCTCACGCTGGGCCTTCCTCCCCTGTTGGCCCAGGTTCAGGACAGGAGGTCACCAAGGTGAGGCTTGCCCAGCCCCACCGTCAGCCTTTCCTCTCAGTCACCCTAGGACACAGTTTGGTGAATCCACACCTTTGAGACCAGACGAGTGTAGCCCAGCTCACGGCTCTGCCTCCAGCCTCAGGCCACACTACAGATAAGCCCTGGCCCGGCAGCAGGAGCCTCACCAGCCACGCTGTCACTCCCTAGGATTTCTGCTTTTCAGGACTCAGTGCCCAGCCCCTCCCACACTCCCTGGGTGAGGCAGACCCTGGGGACAAAGCTGGCGCTGGGCTCCGGAGAGAAAGGAGGAGAGGCAGCCCCTGCCTCAGGGACCCCCTAGTCTGATGGAGGAGACACAGACCTACCGTCAAGGACCTCCCGGTCCAAAAAGAAGGCTCAGCCTCACGGTTCACACACAGCCTTGGCCTTGGAGAGCCTCCCTCCAAAGGGGAAGGCCCAGCACCCACCTTCAAGTAGCCCCTGTCATAGGCCGGGTCTCCTGGGGAGGCTGCCCTTGGGGACCTCCCAGTCCATGCATGGGGAGACACCCAGCCCCTCCCTCCGGGCGCTCCCAGTCTGATGGAGGTCACCCAGTCCCCGGCTTTGGGGAATCGAGACTCTCAGAGAAAAGGCGAAACAGACCCCAGAAAAGAGTAGCATAAATGCAAACCAGCAGAGGTCAAACAGGCCCAGCAGTGGCAAGGTGGCCGTCACCTGTGCCCATCCTCGCCCTGGCAGTCCCCCGCCAGCCCCGATGTCCGCCTAGCCCGGGAGACGGGTGGCTGTGGCCCCAGGTTTCACATGAGGCTTAGAGAGGTAGGAACATCCTCGTGCCCAGGAGGAAATACCTCATTCATAAGCTCCCTGCAGGAGAACTTAAGTTTGACAGCAGGGCAGGGAACCGGGACAAAAGGGCACAGCAGTGGGGTAAGTGTGGGGAGCACAGACGTCAAGGCGGGGAGCTGGAGCCAAGGAACTTTGAAAGAGTTTAAAATTCTAAAGGACCAGAAGCCACAGCACAAGTGGAGGATGGAGAAGGAGAAGGCACCAGGGGCCCGTGGGCCGGGCCCAGTTTCCCTTCCAGTGGAGAGAGAGCAGTTGGAACCGGGTCTCCTGGGAAGAGGCCTCATTGACACGCACATGTGTGTGCGTGTGCACGTGTGCGTGTCCGTGTGTGTGAGATGGGGGGCGTGGCAGCCCCAGGGGCTACCCCTCAGGGACCCAGGACAGGAGCAGCCACCTAGCCTGGGGGCTCTATTTCCAGCCGCACGCACTGTTGTGGCTGGGAGACCCGTACTGCAGCGTTGGTGACAGTCCCCTCCCTGCACGGCCAGCACCGCAGGGCCTGTTGCTGGCCCTCCCTCCCTGACCCTAATCCCCAGCCACAGTGCAGCCTCCCTGTTCTCCCTTCTCCTCCCTGCTTTTACAAACAAACCAGGTCCCTCTTCGGGAGACAGAGTTATCTGGTAATACGGTGGGACGGACCGGCGTGCAGCATTACTCCTTCTGGAAGAAGCTGCATGCTAACAGAGACTTTGCCTAGAAGAGAAACAAAAACCTGAAACTCTAATGGCAGGTCTCCCAGCGGTGGGAATGACAGTGCCCCGGTCCCCCTCTACTGCGTTCATGCACAAAGCCAGCCAAAGCCACGAGGGTGGGGAGGGAGGCACTGCGCTGACTTGGCAACTTGAACAGCTCCTCTCTTACCTGCTGCGTGGAGGCCTGCGAGTCCCCACCAGGGGACGAGTCTTCTGACGTGAGGCCAAGCCCGTCTCGGGCTGTAGACACCCCCAAGAGCAGTGACGGGGCCCTGGGCTGACCCCATGGGGAACGAGACTGGGGTCAGGGCCTGCTCTGGCAGCCCGTCTTGATGGGAGGAAGCAGGGAGAGAGGAGGGCAGCCAAGGGGCAGGGAAAGGACAGGACAAGGCGATGGAGCCACCCTGACCACCCGTTCTCAGGACTCGGCCCACAGCTGTGTGATACTAAAAGGACCCACTTCCCACAGCTGGCACAGGGCCTGGCATACAGTAGGCACTCCATAATTGCAGGTTCCCTCTCTTCATGCCTCTTACACACTTTCTCCACAGTCTGTGCACTCACACAACCAGTTTTTGAACACCTGCTATATGCCTGACACCTTTGAACATCGTAACACCTTACAAAGTAGGAACAGCTAATCCCATTTTACAGATGAAGAAGCTGAGCCTCTGAGAAGCCAACTGACTTGCCTAAGAACATCCAGCTAGGAAGTAGCAGAGTCGGGGTTCAATCCCCCAGCTCTCTGCCCCCAGAGGCCAAAAGTTAGCAGCCAAACTTGCTGCTAGCCTAGCCGTTAAGAAGGGCCACGTGCCGTTTCTCCTCTGCCCTGGCTCTGCACTTGGATTTCTCGACATTTCAGCCCTCTCCCAGCAGGTCCCCTTGCCAGTGTGGACCCCAGGTGGCCGGCCCCATTCCTCGGCCCTGTGCTCAGGGCCAGCTGGAGGGTGGGGAGGTGGTGCGTGCACAGATGTGTGCGTTGCTGGCACGGAGTCAAGGGATCACTGTGTCCCTGGGAAGCGCAGCGAGTGCATCTGTCAATTACCCTTCATTAGCATCAGATATTAAAAGCCAGGGCTGGTTCCTGGCTGGGCCCCTGGTCCCCAGACACCCATGTTGGCTGGAGGTGGGTGGGTCAGGGCATAGCCCTACTTATCAGCCCCGCTTTATCTGTCCTGGGAGGAGCTGGTAAATCACAGCCGGGGCCTTGGCTCCAGCTTGTCAACACAGGGAGCAGCGGGCAGCCACATGCCAGGAGGCCCAGGGATATTTCATTAAGTCAGACCCTGGTGCTGGAAATAAAACCCCCAATTAAACACTTCCCCTCCCGGAAACTGCCTCCGCGTCTGTAATCAAGCTGACAGCCGCCCTTCCATGTGGCCGCTGGCACTCAGGGCTGCGAGGAGCTGCTCGTGAATCCATTAGCTCCGCGCCCTGGCAACGGGGCCGGCCAGCAAGGACTGCCCAGGCCCCATTTTGCAGACGAGGAAGCTGAGACTTGGAGAGGCCACTCACACACCCTCCCCAAGGTGGAGGGATGAGGGTCACAGGCCAGGCTCGAAATGCAGGCACCGCTCTGGGGTTACGGAGAGCATCCGGACGTAGAAGGAAGTCGGTTTCTGAACTACGCAGGCTCAAGTTCAAAGCCTGATTCTGCTGCTCAACCAGCTGTGGGACCCTAGGCAGGTCACTTCACCTTCCTGGACCTCACTTTCCTCATCTGTAAAATGGGAACCATAATGACTTCCCAGGGGATAGGGCCTGTGAAGTGCCTGGCACATAGTAGGTCTTCAAACCATGGCTGGGGGGGGGGCTGCTGCCTCTCCCAGATTTCTCGAAGGAGCCCTCCTTTCCTGGGGCTGGGAATGGAGGTTGTGACTCCACTTCAGCCGGAATTCCTCTGGGCCAAGCTTAGGCCTCAGTCTCCCCTTGGCAGCCCCGGCCTGCCGTAAAAGCCCCTGGGGCTCAACGTTACTCAGGGGAGGCACCTGGCAGAGTTTCCAGGAATTGGGAGTGACCAGCTATTTTAAAAGCATTTTATGACTCTCGTGGAAGCAGAGCTAGGCTAACAAACAGGGATCCGGAGGCTGCAGCTGACGGGCGGAGTGTAATGAGCAGACCGGCGGCTGTGGGCAAACGAGGCTGCTGGAGGGTCCTCAGGCGGCCGCGGGCTGTCCCAGCCTTGTCCTCCCCACCTTGTCTGCACCAGCCTTTCCTCTGAGCATCCTCCTCGCCCGACTCATCTGTTCCCGCCCTCTCTGCGTGATGATCCTCAGTCCCAAATTCTCAGTTGGAGGGGTCAGCACTCGAGGGCCTGGCTGGCTTCCCTGGCACACTGTGTGGCTCTGAGGCCTGAGGCCTGGCCCCACGTCCAAGGTGCTGCCTGGATGTCCCCCCTCCCTGCAGGGCCCCTTCTGCATCTGCCTGTTCTTTCAGATCTGGCCCCAATGTCACCTGTCCCTGGAAGGTGTCCTGATGCCACACCCTGGGCAGAAGAGGTGGCTCTGACCTCCCTCAGCACCACTGCCTGGGCCGCTGAGCCGCCCCTGCTGCCCCACGGAGGGGTCACCCCTTCTCCCCAACATACATACACTCCTAGGGTCTTGGTGGCACCCCTAGATCCTGCCACAGACCCGGCTCAGGGTTCTGGTAATAATTTCGTATCTAATTCTTTCTCAAATCACCCACCCTCTGCTCTGCTCTGCGCCCTAGAAGGCCGAGCCCTGGGACAGCGTCCCTCAGGCTCCCTGGCCTCGGCTGGGTTTGGCCAGCGGGAGCACTGGCAGGAGGTAGGAGGGCGGAAGGAGAGAGAGGCTGGGGCACTTCCCCTGCTCCCCCCCTGCCTGGATTCTGAGCTTCTGCCAGTGGCTTTGCCCCTCTGTGGCCACAGCCCTCCTGGGTGGCCACTCCATCGTGACATCAGCTCTCTTGGTGACTCCCAGCCCCATTCTTGCCCCTGGCTTCTCAGGTCTAGGGGTGCCTAACGCTTCCCACAGTTGTAGTTCTTGGTGCTTTACACGCCTGATTGCTCCCTTGACCCTGCCCGGCCTCTGTGAGGGCCAACCGCACCCCGCCATTAAATTCTCTCCAGATTCCCAGCTGAGCGCATTTTCTGCCAGGCCCCTGCCTGAACCAACCCCCTTCCTTCTCCACGACCCCAAGGCACACTGTGATGTGTCTCCAGGGGCTACGTCCTTGAGCAGCCCAAGAAAGCACCAGAACTGCCCCCTTCCTGCTTGCAGTTGGGTGGGGGTCAGGGGACCCTGCAGCCTGTGTCCAGGAGAGCGAGGAGAGTGCCCGGCCAGCCAGGGCCACCAGTCACGCTGCCGGAGCCTGCGTGGTGTCTCTGTGGGTCCCTAACTCAGGGAGAGGGGAGGGGGAGGCAGAGTGGGTGATTCCAAGTGTCAAAAAAGAGAATAAATTAGCCTGGCGCGGGGTGTGTGTGTGTGTGGAGGGCTGGCAGGGGGCCTGCGCACGGCCGTTATCTTCATGGAGAGAGCAATAAAACCGTGTTCGCTCATAAACGGGCACCACCAGGACCTATTTCCTGCTCAAATAAAATTAAAGGTGATGGATGGAGCCACGGCAGCAGGCAGAGCTGGGGGCGGCTCACTGCTGAAGGATGGGCCCTGTCCTGCGCCTGGCTCCCTGGGGTCTAGAGGCCCAGCGGGGGCTGGCTGAGCAGCCGAGCAGCCGGTCCCAAATCTTTGGAAGGCAGAGAGAGCGTGTGTGTGGCGGGAGGTCAGGGAGATACGCAGGGCAGGTGGGAAAAATCAGCAGCTACCGTTTTTGAAGAGCCTGCGATCCTCCCACACCTGTGTCACTTGGCTCTATCCCACCTCCCAGGTGAGTAAACCAAGGCACAGAGAGGTCTAGAAACTTGCTTCTGCTCACACAGCCAGCCAGCCACCTACAAGCAGAACCACTAGATCGCAGGGCTTGCAGGGAGAGGGCAGGCAGCTCGTTGTCCTCTGTAGAGGCGTGCCCAGCCAGCAGAGGTCACCCATGCCACTCTCCTACCCCCAGGCCAGAGCCACACACATAGGCACAGCCCCTGCCCCCGAGGAAGCCTTTAGTGTAGCAATTCAACTGACTCGAAACCAGACCCCTGGGTCTGCCCCTCATGAGCTGCATGAGCTTGGAAAAGCCACTTAGCATCTCTGTGCCTCAGTTTCCTCGTCCAAAAAGGGGAGGGTAATCAGAACAGACGGCTGCTGTAAGGATTCGATGAGCACACGTATGTAAAGTGCTCACAACAGGCAGTGGGGGAGGACGCTGCACGCGTAAGGGCCCCTGATCTACCCAGGTGCCTGCCCCTTGCCAGGCCAGGGCACTGTGGGGCGCGGGAGTGTGCGGTGAGGGTGCGGGAGACAGCCTTTTTAGGAGAGCTGCCTGGGCCGCATCTGACCTCAGTCCTGCATGCAGAGGTGAAACTCACACCAGGCCCCACCAGGCCACCTCCTCCAAGCAGACCCCCGGCTCCTCTCAGCATAACTTTTTTTTTTTTTTTTGAGACAAAGTCTCGCTTTGTTGCCCAGGCTAGAGTGAGTGCCGTGGCGTCAGCCTAGCGCACAGCAACCTCAATCGCCTGGACTCAAGCAATCCTTCTGCCTCAGCCTCCCGAGTAGCTGGGACTACAGGCATGCACCACCGTGCCGGGCTAATTTTTTCTATATATATTAGTTGGCCAATTAATTTCTCTCTATTTATGGTAGAGACGGGGTCTCACTCTTGCTCAGGCTGCTTTTGAACTCCTGACCTCAAGCAATCCGCCCGCCTCGGCCTCCCAGAGTGCTAGGATTACAGGTGTGAGCCACCGCGCCCGGCCCAGCATAACCTCTTGCTCACACTTGCTTCCGGGCCACCTTCTCTTTGGTGTCAGACCCTGTCAACGCACAATGGTAAGAGCACCAACTGGATTCAAGTCAAATCCGCCACTTGCCACGTCATTTGAAACAAGTGACTGAAACCTGCTGGCGTCAGTTTCCTCATCTGGACAGCCCTATATAGCCAGAGGCTAGTTGTAGAGTTGTAGAGATTCAGTGGACGCCCTGCTTTTAGGGCAGGACCTGGCACACAGGAGGCACTCAAGAAACCTGGGCTATTATTATTCTAAGAAAGGTCTTCTCTCCCCTTATGGAGACCCCCGGCTCTTTGCTGCAGGGGCTTATCTCCCGTCAGCCCCCAGTCCCTGGCTTGGCCTGGGCTCAACACCTGGGGGTGCTGGGATAGATGTGGGGGCACATGAACTACCCTCCAGTCAGGGGTCCCCTGCAGTCTCTGCAGGTGTCTATGCCCCAGTGACCCTCCACCTACCCAGTCACACCTTTCCCCAGCAGGCAGGAGTAAGCTGGGGGCCCTGAGGTTGGGGGCTGGCCAGCCCACCCACACCCTGGTCCCTGCTCCCAGTGAGCTCCTAAAGGGTCAGGAGATGCCCTGCCAGGGAAGGGCCGGCTGCATACACGCATCACACACACACACACACACACACACACACACACACGTACATCGGAGCAATGACGCCCTGGGCACCAGCCTCCACGCCAGGATCTGTTCCCACCTGGCCTCTGTCCTGACTACTGGAGCAGAGGGCTCACATTTCTCTCCTAAGTCAGACACACACTCCCTTCTCCCCCCACACCCGCCAGCACAGGCCTCAGGTCCAGGCCCAGGTTGCAGCTCAGGCCATCCTGATACCTGTCATTGCCCATCACTATCCACCCCCTCCCCGCCCCCCAAGGGAAGGCAGGCAGACCACTCACTACCAGGCAGGCCTAAAGACAGCCCAAGGCGGGGAGAGCTGTGTCTCAGAGGACAGAAAACACTGCCCCACCCTGGCCTAGCCTCCTGGGTACAAGGGAAGGTGGAGTTCTCACCGCTGCTGGCCCAAGGCAGGTACCAGGGGCAGCTGACGTTCACAAAGGAGCCTGGTGGCCCGTCTGGCCAGCAGGCGTAGTCATCGAAGGTCCGGTTGCAGAACAGGCCTGGGGGCAGGGGAACAGCCTCTGAAGCCCTGCCTGTGCCTGGCTGCCTTCTCCTCCCCTCCCCCCCACCCCAAGGGGAGGCCCCCTGCTGAGCACTGGCTATGTGCCAAGTGCTTTCCCCACCCCAGGAGCCCAGCAAGGGCTCTTGCCACTGAGCAGTGGCAGGACCTTGAGCAAGTTACTTAATGTCTGTTTTCTCACCTGTAAAATGGGGTTTTCCCTGCCCTGGAGGGCTGTGGTCCCCAATCCCCGCTCCATGGCCTTGTAGGGACCGGGTCACAGAGCTCTGCTGCCCCCCGATCCCCACTCCCATAGCCCCCCACCCCGTTTGTCCTCCAGGAAACTTGGGAAGAGGGGAGCACACAGCAGGAGGTGAGCAGCTCCCCATTGTTCCCACCAGCATCGGAGCTCAGCCTTCCCCCTTCCCGCCCCCACCCGTCAGTGGAAGAATTATCATGAAACCCCGGCCAGGGCCCAAAACATTGGGGACTGCTGCAGTAGGGCTTCGTGGAGATAAAGACTGCCTGTTACATAGACTGCCTGTGACTACTCATAGACTACCTACTCATAGACTACTCATAGACTGCCTGTTACAAAGACTGCCTGTGACTACTCATAGTAAGTGCTCAATAAACAATCCCTATAGGCCTATTTTTAAATGATGCTCACAGAGCAGAGGGCAGTGGTCACTCACAAGGCCGAGATAACCTTCCTAAGGTCACAGTGGTATAACTGCAGAGTCAGCATTCAAACCCAGGTCCACCTGGCTCCAACCCTGTGCTCTTTAAACCACCCCAAAGTGCCCTGGAACATGCATTCCTATAAACATGGTTGCTGGGCCTTCAGTCCACGCGCAGGCTGGAGCTCTGGGGCTCTGAGCACACAAACTGGAAAGGCCGGGGCTGCCCCGAGCAGCGGGAGCTGGAGGCTGGCGGGGGCGGGACAAAACAGGGAAGCCAGCTGCAGGGCAAAGGGGTAAGAGCCAGAGGTGACAGAGCCCTGTGGGAAGGTCTTCTGAGGGTGCAGGTGTTTGAGCTGGGCTTTGAGGAACCAACCTGAGAATTTGGGGTAGGCAGAAAGGGGGCAGGAAGGCATTTGCAGGGGGCAGCTGGGACAACGGGACAGAGGCGAAAGCCAGGTGTGGTGTCCTGGAGACGGAAATGATGCCAACCGTGGACGTGGGGGCCATCAAAGCCCTCCGAGGGTTGGTTGGGTGGCGAGCACTGAGGGTGGGGGCCCCACAGGGACTCACCTGTGGCCGGAGGTGGGGCCTCGCTCAGGAAGCGCTGGCACTGGCGTCGGTATTCCCGCCATTTCTGCACCGTCTCTGAGAGGGACACAGTGGCACCCTGGGGGGAGGGCACAGATGGGGGACCTGTGGGTCCGGCCAGCCCCTCTTCTGCCCCCTCACCCAACACACTTGGTTTCTTGGTGTCTAGGGCACCTTGGAGTCCCAAAGTCTGCCAGGCATTGGCCATCTCTGAAAGTGCGCGAGAACAAGGTGCTGCCACCTAGGGGCTCCGGGTGGACATTGTCCCACCTTTGCTCCTCCAGGGACTGGGCACAGCTCCATGTGTAATGGGCACCCAGAAAGTGTCACCGAACTGATCCTTCTGCTGGTGCGTGGTGAGGAGGGAGAGGAGAGTGTGGGTCCCATTCCTGGTCTCCTGCGACCTCGCCTAGGAGAGGAGGGGGACTTCCCGAGGGCCCAGGGGCTGCCTCTTCCTGGTGCCTGGTCAGCCTGCCCGTTACACTTTCGACAATTCTAGAGGGGACACACAGGCCACAGTGGGAGAGGGACTCAGTTAAGGCACACAGCACCTCAGGAAGCGGAGCTAGGGCCGGACCGGAACAGTGACTATGACAGACTATTAGGGGATGGGGACGGAGGTGGCCTTCAAAATCAGAATGTCCACCATTAGCGTTCCTCCTGCAGAACGCTCTCATCTACCTAGGGGGGCAACACGACCCCGCAACGCTCCCCTCTGACACAACTACCCAGACCAAACATTCATCCGGCTCCCAACCCGGAGGAGGAGTCCTGAGGACGTGGGGTGAGGGGGTCGGAAAGCTTCCGGAACACTGAAGTCACTCCTGCAGTGGGAGGGGCTCCCCTCCCTGTGAGTAGGAAGATGTGAACCTCAACTTTCAGGTAAGGTAACCGGAATGTTCTTTGAGCACAAGACCCAGATAGACCCTCCCCACTGAGAACTCTTCCTTCAGAACACTTTTGGGTACTGCCTTCAGAGACATCTCGGGACTGTGGTTCTTTTCTATTTTGTTTCCTGAACAGCCTTAAATATTATAAATGCTCCTGATTTAGAGGCTGCAGAGGCTGCAAGAACCAGAGAGCCCCAGGTATAAAATTTAGGACGTATACATAATTTAAAACACAATTTCACTTTTTGAAATCACGAAAACATACACATACACTGGAATTGAGACAGCTTCTAATTTTAGAAGCTTGCACCCTTGACTTGCCGGGCGCCAAGCCTCGCTGGACCTGGTTCTGGGCAATCCTGCCCTGGTCCACGCTGCTTTCTTTATAAGACGCGTCCCCATGAAGACTGGGGCGCCACGTGCTTATCCCTCGCTGCACAGGGCTCCCCAGAGAGGGGGCCAAGCTCAGTCTGAACCCAGCGACATCCCTGGAGGGAGTACGCTGGGGCTGCAGGTGACGCTACCCTGAAGGACAGAGTTCTTCCGAGGGCAAAGGTCAAAGTATTTTGGGGGAAAAGAAATCAAACACAACAACAGCAAAAGCAGTGACATGATTTTAGCCACAGCTGAGGGGGTGGCACAGTTTTCACCAGAGCAAGTCCTGATGGATCAACCCCACCTCCCACCCCCTTGTCCCTCTCCCTTCTGCGTCTTCCTCCAGGTAAAGGTTTCTTCCTCCCCAGCCCAGAATGCAGAAAGTCAGGAAGAAATCCCCCTCGCTTTCTGTTTCTAGAACGAAAGCGGGCAATAAGCAAGGTCACCGCTGGGAACTGGGGCAGAAGGTGTGTCTGGGGCAGGCAGTGAGGACAAGGAAGCCTGTGGAAGCCAGCAGTCCCCCAGTGGGGGGAGCGGGAGGGAAGTCCAACCTGGCCACACACACTTGTTCCAGGGAGCTTCAAACAGGCAGCATTGTCATCTACTCTGAACAGAGCTGTGGACATAAACTATTTTTAGACTGGGCTCCCCGAGGACAGGGCCGTGCCTCCCCTCAGACTGGGCTCCCCAAGGACAGGGTCATGTCTGCCCTAAGACTGGGCTCCCCGAGGACAGGACCGTGCCTCCCCTCAGACTGGGGCTCCCTGAGGACAGGGCCGTGTCTCCTCTCAGACTGGGGCTCCCCGAGGACAGGACCATGTCCCCCCTCAAACTGGGCTCCCTGAGGACAGGGTCGTGTCTCTCCTCAGACTGGGGCTCCCCGAGGACAGGGCCGTATCTCCCCTCAGACTGGGCTCCCCGAGGACAGGACCATGTCTCCCCTCAGACTGGCTCCCCGAGGACAGGGCTGTGTCTCCCCTCAGACTGGGCTTCCCGAGGACAGGACCGTGTCTCCCCTCAGACTGGGGCTCCCTGAGGACAGGGCTGTGTCTCCCTTCAGACTGGGGCTCCCCAAGGACAGGACCATGTCTCCCCTCAGACTGGGCTCCCTGAGGACAGGGTCGTGTCTCCCCTCAGACTGGGGCTCCCCAAGGACAGGGCTGTGTCTCCCCTCAGACTGGGGCTCCCCAAGGACAGGGCCGTGTCTCCCCTCAGGCTGGGGCTCCCCAAGGACAGGGCTGTGTCTCCCCTCAGACTGGGGCTCCCCAAGGACAGGGCTGTGTCTCCCCTCAGACTGGGGCTCCCCAAGGACAGGGCTGTGTCTCCCCTCAGACTGGGGCTCTCCGAGGACAGGGCTGTGTCTCCCCTCAGACTGGGCTCCCTGAGGACAGGGTTGTGTCTCCCCTCAGACTGGGCTCCCCAAGGACAGGGCTGTGTCTCCCCTCAGACTGGGCTCCCCGAGGACAGGGCCGTGCCTCCGCCTTTGTTAGGGGACACCAGCTCAGGGTCTCCACATACCGTGAGCCCTCAGCCCACCCCTGTCTGCACACACAGCACAAGTCACCCAGACCCCTGGCCTCTCCCACACCCGGTGTTCATGGAAGCTGTCACTGCCTCAGGTTCTGGGTGGCGGTGAGTGGAGGGGACACAGGGAATACAGAGATGATGGACAGAGCCCCGGGGGGAGACAGTCCTCAGGCTACTTGGGGGAAGGGGGTCAAATGCTTTGCAGGACAAGTAACAGTGCAGAGGAGGCAACAGTGCTTTGCAGGACAAGTAACAGTGCAAAAGGCTCAGGGAGTAGTGGGGAGGGCTGTGTGTAGGCTCAGAGCTCCCATGGATCTCAGAGGACTGTAAGGTGGGAGTTGTGGGAAGGGCCGGGGAGGCGGGCCGGGCAGGGCAGCTGGGCGTTTCAGCAGGAGGGTGCAGCAGGGACAAGCGCGCACAGCCGGGACATCAGTGCTCCGGAGCCGGAGCGGAGGAAAGCTGTAGACCGTGTTCAGGAGGATTTTCTGGGCAGGAAGAGAACGGTTGCAAGACCTGGGACAGATGGGAGGCTCTGATGTGAGCCAAGACTGGGAAAATGAGGCAGGGGGTGCCCCCCAGTGCCACAGGGCCCAGGTAGGTGCAAAGTAACACACGGGGCGGGGGAGGGGAGTGAACAGTCTTAGTTCTGGGCTCAGATCTGGGCCTGGGGCTGGCTCACCCATAAGTTGGTTTTGCGACCGTGTGCAAGAGTGTTAGCTGCCATCCTCAGCTTGCACATGTGCGGTGGGAATGATCCCAGTTCCCACGGGTTGCTGTGGGGATCGGGCTAACGCTTAGGACGGCCGCGGTACACGGCAAGTGCTCCGTCAGCGGCACCGTTCTCAGAGTGGCTTCCTGGGGATCGGAGCCCCACCCTCCCTCACGTCTAGGATCAACAAACTCCCAGAAGGAGAAAACGAATGTATTTTCATGCCCAAGGACCAACCATTCTGCTTAACCTGTGACATCTTCCAGCAGGAGCCACAGCCAATGGCAAAGTAGAGTCTGGGGAGGCTCGGGACCCCAGGCCCTGTGAGGAGGGGCGAGGTTCTGCCCAGCAGCCCCCATTCCGTCCACCCACCGTAGAAGTCCCTGCTGCAAGCCCAGTGAAGCGAAGCCGTGGGTGCTGGGCAGTGGGGAGGACACAGTGCAGATGTCCCTGCCCCCTTGGGGCGGCAGAGCAGGGTGGGGGACATGGTAAGGGCAGGTTGGCAGATTTTACAATCAACTTGCCAGGCTTCATAGGCTCTCTCTGAGGCCGATGAAGGCACGTGGGGAGAAGGACCAGGTTGGAGGTTACAGAGAGGGGCATCCCTCAGATTCAGGAGTTTGGACAGGAAGTAGGAGATGAGAAAAGAGGACACCAGGAGGGAGTGGTGTGGCCTGCAGAAAAGAGCACCCAACAGAGAGTCGCAAGCCCTTGGTTTAGATTCAAGGACTTATCTGTCAAGGTGGGACTGATGGGACACATTTGATCTTTTGGGGCCTCAGTTTCCTCATCTGTGAAATGGGCCTTACCATTCTTCTCAAAGACTTACTGCACAGATGCAACCAGATAAAATAGGTGAACATCTTTCTGACTGTTGAGCGCGGTGCAGGTGGGCACTGCTGGAGGAGGGAGAGCAGAGAAAGATGTAGACGGGGTGGGAGCTCCGGAGCGGATGGGCTTTGCAATGCCCGGGGAAGAAACTTCCTCTCCAAAGACTGGCTGCCAACCTGAAAAGGCCCCCCTCTTTCTCAGTGTGGATGAATGTGTCAGATTCTTTCCTTTTCTGGAGACTTCTTTGGTCGAGGGGGAGGAAGAAAGAGATCCCGGCCTCTCCGGGCAGCTGGGGACAGCCCCTCAGGAGGGGAAGGAGTGCTCCACACACGGGGCTCCCCCAGCCAGGTCCAGGTCCCGGGACCCCAGCCTCCCTCTCTCTGTCACCTCCCAGCGCCCAAGTCACACCTCCCACCACCTGCAGGGTGGGGCTGTCTCTTCAACCCCATTTTTTCCCCTTGAGGGCTTTAGATATCTGATCAGAGGGGCAAGGCGATGAAAACTCAACACACATTCAGTGTGGTAGTAATTCGATTAAAAAGCAATAAAAATAAAGATTTTTTTTTTAAAAAGAGACCTGTGCATACATTCTCACAGGCACAAGACCTCTCACGTGAATACACTGTCACACACGGCATCACATGGGCCATCAAGCACATTTCCTGACACAGGGTCTCGCCCCCCACACAGTGGCTCACAGACTGCCAGGCACACACTCGCGGTGAGACGCTGCCCCGACACACACACTCACACCCCTCGACTGGCGCACTTAACCTGCACTGTCACACACACACACAGAGGAACTGCCGTAGGCACTCTAGGACAAGGACAGTATGTCTCCCACACACATGGACACACACCAGCATACACACCCGTTCACACGCCATGATGTCACACACAGAGACCCCCTCTAGCACAGTATCACACGGGGTCACAAACACACACACACTGTCAGACACACAACTACACGCTGAGACGCTGCTGCCCATGCAGGGACTCACTGCCACGCAAGCACACTGTCACACACAGCGTCACGTACCTGTACGCAGAGAAACGGGGGCTCAGACAGCCCACAGCCTTCTCCCCGGGGTGTCTCTACCTGTCTCTATCTCTGTGTCTCTCCATCACACACACACACAGACACACGCGCGCACGGAGGAATGTGCCCAGGGCCAGGCTGCGGCTCAGGAAGGGCCTGTTTTATCTCAGCGCAACGCATTCCAGGGCAGGATGTGGTTTCTTGGTGGCTCCTGCCCTGGCCCAGACCCTGGGTCCATGTCCAGGAGGGAGCCCAGCTCCGAACAAAGTGCACGCTGAACGAGGCGCGGCGCTGGACCCCGGGGCCACGCACTAGAGCCCAGGGGACCCTGACAGCCCTCTCCAGGTCCTACCCTGCGAACACTTCCAGGTTCCCAAGGACAAGCGGGTCAGGTTCCCCCAGTGAATAAAGCGGCCGTGTCAGGGCGTCAGTGTCACGCTCCTCTCCATGACCCTGTGTTCGAGCTTGTGATCCCCATTTACAGATGAGGAAACTGAGATTTGGGATGAGCAAGTGTACTACCTAACATCAGCAGCTAATAGCAGACCTGATACTGGAACCCAGTTCCATCTGGGTTTAACCTGGTGTGTCAAAGGCCCGCCTGTCTCCTCAGTAGACCAGCTCCCTCTCGGGGCCTGGGGAGGTGAGAAACGGGGGAAGCAGGTGGGCTTCCCAGCAACAATGAAGGAGTGGCCTAAGCCACCTGGAAGTCAATTCTGCCACCTCCTACCTGCAGGGAGGCGGCCCCCAACCCTCCCAGACCTGCCATGTGCCACCCACTCTCAGCTCCTCCTCCAGTCCCGCCTGAGTGGGAGGTTTAGGCGGACAGCCCAGCCCCTGCTCCTCCCTGCCCCGAAACTGCTGGGCCACCTTGGGGGGGGGGGGCCTCTTCAGAGCTTCCATGTCCCCATCAGCAATACCAATCTTGCTGAGCTCATAGACACAAAATAAAATGCAAAACTGACCATTTTTTAGAGCGTCACAGGCATGCATGAGGCTGTACCATAATTACTGCAGTCTGTCCTCAAAGCTCCTGTCGCTCAGGTCCCTGCAGCTCCCAGAGACACTCCGTGCCCCACAACAGGAGCATGCCCTCAGGGCTCCACCCTCCTGGCTCAGGGCCTGTCTCCTCCTGTCCTTCCCTGTCCCCCTCAAGTCCTGTCGTGGCCCAGGACTCTCAGCCTTCGCCTGAGGCCTGGGGCTGAGGAATGAGAGGGGACCAGAGGAAAGAGCAGGTTCAAGGTCCTGACACCAACTGGGAACAGGGACTTTGGGAAGGAGACCAGTAACCCACAGAAGCTCTCGTCTTCCTTTTGCTTTCTTCCCTTAATCCCAACCGGAGCCGCAAACTTGGTCTGGGGCGGGATGGGACCAGGAGCAGAGCCTCCCACAGCCAGCCCATAAGAAGAGGTAAAGACGATTGAGAACACTGTAACGGGTCTGCAGTCCTGCCCCCGCCCCTGTGCCCCAAACATCCCAACTACACCAGAAAAGACAAAGACTTATGGGGAAGGAGCCTTAGGAAGGGGGAGGGTGTCTCCTGGGGCTAGGGACAGTAGCTGGGCTGGGGAACAGGGACTGGGAGAGGATGAGTCTGTAAAAGAATTGGGGGGAGGAAAATGTGCTGACACCCTAGCTGAGAGGCACAACTGTCCACATCTGGATTCTCTGCCAGGGTGGAGTCTGCCCTCACCAAGGCAATGGGCCCTCACCCTGCCGCTCACCTGTTCTGGGACAAATATCAAGGCCTGTACAGGCCACTTCCTGAAGACCTCAGTTCTTTATGTCTGGGGGTAGGAGTGGGGAGGGGATAGGAAGGGACTGTCCTGACCAGGACAGGGCACCCAAGCCAGCTTTCCCCTCAAGCACGTCCGGCATCTTTGAACAACTCCCTTCTCCCAAAGCCACTGACCACGGCCCCAAGCTCAAGAGCCCGGGGCAGGAAAGGCAGGAAGGACAGGAGAGAGGGGCTGCAGAGGCCCACCTGTGGCCTGCTCTCTGGTGGCACCAAGGAGACCAGGGTGTTCCTGGTGTCCCAGAATGCCTTCTGGTGTCTCTTGTCAGTCTAGGGGTCAGAATGGGAGGTCAGCAGTGTGTGAGGGGGGCTGGCTGCTTCCAGAACAGCGCAGAGCCTCCCTCGTGTTTGCTGCAGGGGCCGGAGGTGGGGGCTCAGGTTCCATCTGGGAGGTCACTGGGAAGGACAAGCTGCCGCTGCAGGGTCCCCAGGACTATGAATCAAGGGCTGTGCCCCAGGCTGCTGAGGAGGGGTAGGGAGCCTCCGGGTCTGCACACCCTGGCCCTCTCGGCCCTTCCAGAGCCTTCTGGGGGTCTTTGGGCAGGCGGGCGGACAGGCGGTCGTGGGGGAGGTGGGGGAGGCACCGCGGGAGAGGGGTCCGGGCATACAGTGGGGTTCGGGGAGTCCGGGGAGACGGGGGAGCGCCGGGCTGCTCCCAGGCCGCTGTCAGGGGCTCAGGAGGAGGAGGACTTGGGAAAGTGGCGTAGCGAGGAGGGAGATGCGGCGCCGAAGTCGGCGAGGGCGGCCGCGGGCCAGCTGGTGCCCTGGCGGAGCGGCCCGCGCGGCGAGGAAGTGGGCGCCTCGCTCGGGTTGCGGGAGTCACCGTGGTCCACGCCACCACCTGGGCCTCCCAGCGCAGGGACACCCAACTCTCCAGTCCCCCGAGGCTTTGCGATCCCCCCGCCCGCGGTCGCGGAGTTTCGCTCAAGTCCTGGCGGCCCCTGCCAGGACACTGCGCCTGCAGCCCGCAGCGCCACCACCCGCCCTGCCGCCGGGTCCCGGGTCTCACCTGGGGGCGGGGGCCGGCCCTGCCCACCGCCCCGAGCAGCAGGAGCGCGAGGCGCAGCGGGCCGGGGGCGCCGGCCATGGCGGGGCGCTCAGGACTGGGCCATCGCTGCCACCTGCGGAACCGCGCGCGGCGACTAACCCCGGGCGGGCGGCGGGCGGCGGGGGAGGAGCCGACACGGGGCCGCCCCGCCCGCGGGAGGGGCCGGGCGGGGTCCCCGGTCTTCAGTCCCAGCCGGCCGAGGCCCCCGGGCCAGCCCAGCAGCACCCCTGGCCGGTCTCCGGCAGGGAGGTCCGGGCACTGCGCTCCCAGCGAGCGCGGCTCGGGATTAGGAGCGCAGGAGCCCGGCCACCAGCCAGCTTTCGGTGACAAGCGGCCCGCCTCCCACGCTCGCACCCCAGCCTCCTTCCAGGTTCCCCCGCTCAGGAAAGCCAAACCTCCCTCCACCTGCCTATTCAGGATAACCCCGGGAAACTGAGGCCTGGGAGCGGATGGGACTTGTCCAAGGTCACATGGCTCAGCAGATCATTCCTGGAAAGTGTGTCTCCGGCGGGGCGTATGAAAGATCCACGCAGCCGAGTTACCCTCCCCCAGGGCCTCTCGTGCTCAGGCTCTGTCCTGAAGGCAGGCCCCAGCAAGTCAAGGTTGGGGCTGGGGGACAACGACAAATGGGGCGACAGAGCCATGACAGTCGGAAGGATCTAAAGGTTCCCCTCCATCCGGGAACTTCAGGGCTGCCAGGCAGGGAGGGATGAAGCTTCTCTGCCCACCCTCAGCAGCCCCGGCCGGCCTCCCGCTCTTGTACCCGTGGCTGTTCTCTGCGCCCCCTGTGTCTCTGTCTCCCTGCTTAGCAGGGGAGCGTGCCCGGCTCTTAGGTTCCCTGCGGACGCCCAGCCAGTGGGAAGGGCACTGGCTGTATCCTCCCTAATGTGCTTGAGAAGTGGGGATGGGAAAAGAGGACCCCCCTCCAAAGAACCTTGATGCCACTGTTAGGACGTGTGGGTCATGGTGGCAGCCAGCCCCGGACCTGCCATGGGTCATGTCTGGACCGTTCCAAAGGGAAAGGGATTTGTGGGAGCAGCTGCTCCTGGGGAAGAGGACAGACCGCCTCAGTGTCCCGACAGGGGCTGAACCTGCCTGAGCCCAGGGAGGGAGGCAGCCGGGGGGGAGCCAAAGGCTCCAGACAGCAGGAGGACACCCTCTCCAGCCAGTTCCCCTTCCACCGCCTGACAGTCATTTATTCCCTTCCCTGCCCAGAGATCAGTCTGACAAGGCACCTTCTACGTGTCACCTAGGATTAGGTTGTTCAGCTTCGAGTAACAGAAAACCCCACCCCAAATAGCCATGGCATAACCAAGGTCTCTCCCACGTGAAGCCAGGCCAGAGGTCCGGCCCAGCGTTGGAGTGGCTGCTGCTGATCACCAGAGTCCCTGGCTGTCCCACTTCCCACCATTCTCTGGTCCAAGGCTTCCACCTGCTGCTCCAAGGTGGCTGCTCCAACTCCAACCACGACATCCGAATTCCAGCCAGCAGGAAGGAGGAAAGGGAAGATGAGTGCACCTCCACCCACAAGGGCACATGCTGGAAGTGGCAGCCATCGACATCAGCTCTACATCCGGGGGTCAGAACATGGGCGCTCCTGGGCGCACGGGAGGCTGGGAAAAGTAGCCTTCATCCCAGGCAGTCATGGACAAGGTTAAATACCGGGGCTTTTATACTCTAGAAGGCAATATATATACATATATATATGAAAGATACTGGGAAACAATTTTCAGGCTCTGTTACATGTGAGTTGGTATGGGGAGAAGAGAGGGCGATAGAGAAGGTTTTCAGACAAGACTGAAGTCTTTACCATGCATTTATCAACTTCCAGATTTAATAAAAATCTATTGAACACCTGCCACATGCCAGACACTAAGCTAGATCCCAGGGGTACAATGGGTGATGGTGTCCCTATCTTCAGAGAGACTATATTCTAATGCAGGAGGGACACAATAACCAAGTAATCATGTGAGTCATTTGTATTACAGTTGTGATAAGCACTGCTGTGACAAGCAGAGGCTGCTGAAGTCCCACCCTCAACACTTAAATGACCACTTTCTCTCTGCCGGGGGCTTTCTCTGACTGGGAAGAGCTTTTCTGTGTCCAGCAAGTGCAGGACACGAGCCCCTGGGAGCAGCTGTCAGCCATGGGGACAGGAGTGGTGGATAAATACCCCAGCTTTTTGTCCCTTGGACGGGACAGCTCAGAGGAATGTGCCACAGTCTTGTAGAGGTTCCCAGTGTGATGGATCCCTTGCTTCCCACAGAGGTCACCTGTTAGCGTTCCTTCCTGCCTGTCTCACTTTGCAACCACGTGGGACTAGTGTTTCCTGCGGTCACCTCCCAAACACGAACAAACTATTTTTTTCTTAAATCCTCATCTTACCGTCCGCTCCTGGGAGAACCCCGCGGAAGACAGTGGGCAGATGAGGGTATCTAGGGACTACGGAGCCAGTCTCTCTTTTTAACATCTAGGGGTCCAGAAGCCTCTGCATTTGCTCCAATGCCAGGACAGAGTGTGTACTTGGGAATACAGTTTTCTCCTGTCCCCACACTGCTGTCAGACCCCTTGCTGAGGCTCTTTAGAGCAGTGGAAAGGACAGGCTCCCTAAGAACAGAGATTTGAATGGATGGAACACCGTTTGCTAAACTGTTAATAACAACCCTGAAAATGAAAGCAGTAGCTACTATTCATCGAGCCTCCACTCTGGCCAGGAGCTGCTGAATGCTTGGTGTGCACTGATCTCATCCAGTATCATGGGCAAGTGTCTTGATGCCCATTTTATGGATGAGGAAACCAAGGTTCAGGGATGAAAAGTAATTTGCTCATAAGAGCAGACCTGGCACTCACCCAGGTCCGCCTGCCCCACGCCTGGTGCAGAAGCTCCCACTAGGCACCTGGATTTGTGGCAGCACAGAGGATGCGGCTGCAGCTCTGCCAGCCTGTCTCAAGAGCACCACCCCTGGGGCTCCTTCCTCTGCAGCCCAGGGCTCTGCCACTTACCCTCATGCCCAGGGCTTCTCCTGTGGCCCTAGGGTAGGGCACCGGCAGTTTCCACCAAGAAAAGTTGGTAATCAGATTGTCTTCAGAAATGGGAACCACTAATGTTCGCACCTGAAGAACAGATGCTGCAAGGCCTCCCCCTGTGAAGGCTGACCTGAGAGCAGGCCACACCGCCTTCTCTTGTCCCTGGCAGGAAAACCCTGTCCTCAGTAGGAAGACCTGGCCAGTGGGCAGGACAGATCTTTCGCTTGGGAGGAGGCAGGAGAGGAGAAAGAGCGGGTGGCAGGAGAGGAGAGAGGAAGGGAGGGGGAGAGGAAATTGCTAGAAGAGACAGGTGTCTCTTGCTCACACAGTTCAGATTTCTTTCCGAGCTCCATGTCCCTAAGAAACTCATTTACTTCCCAAGTTAAAGATCACATCCGTGTTCTGAGTGACGCGATGAAGGAAGAGCCAGCATCTTCTAGCCTAACATAAACACACATGCACACACACACGTATGCACAGAGCTTGGAGTCTGACAGTCTTGGATTCAAATCCATCTCAGTCACTAACCGTGTATCCTACTGTTGCTAAGCCTTGGTCTCATATCTTTAAAGTGGGAACAATGATAAGAGCCACCATTTACCAGGCACTGGCCTCCGGTCAGGCACTGTTCTAGGAGCTGCGTGTGTTATTTCATCTAACGCTCACCATCGCCCTCAGCCTGGTGGTCACCGGAGTGTGAAGATCCGCTGCTGGGAGGAGGCGGAGGCTTCAGCATTGGGCCCAGGAATCCGCCTTCTCCCAGAAGACCCTGGCTGCCAGTACGTCCCAGGGTGAGGAAGTGTCATGGGAGGATGCCCCTGTGGGCAAGGGCTCCACCCCTCTGCCTCCTGCTTCTCTTCTCAGACCCTGCCCTCTGCTCCCTAACCCAGAGCTCCTGGGAGCCACCCTGGGTTGTGGAGTGGGATCATTTTTATCCCAATTTTGCAAATGAGGAAGCTGATGCCCGAAGCAGTTAAGTAAGTCACTAGCCCAAGATGGCTTGAGAGAGTCCAAGAGAGCCCTGATGCCAAGCACCCCCCTCCACATACACACAACGACTGCACAGCCTACCCCCTTGCAGCATGGCTTGATGCCCCAAAACGGCACCTGCCCAGAAGCCGGCACAAGTAAGCCCTCAGCAAATGGCAGCATTGACGCTGCTAGTATTCCCCACACCCTCCACCTCCCTGCCGTCAGGCCCCGGCTGTGCTAGGTCTCAGCAGGCAGCCGGTGCAGCTGCTAGCACCCAGTCCGTCCCTTCCTGGCCCGGGCGGCTCCAGCCAGATCCCCCAGGTCTAGAAGGGAAGAGGCTTGCCGGACGCAAGGCCCCGTGTGGCGTGGTGCACTTTGCTGCCCCCATTCACCACGCCAGCCGCCAGCCGCGGTTACCAGGTGCTGGGCCCAGGCTCGCTCCGGCAGTCAGCAGCGGAGGATTTACAGCCTCTTGAGCTACAGTGATTATTGCTCTCTTGGGCGGATGCAGCGCGCTGCATTTCTGAAGTGCTACAGCATCGTTTTCATAGCTGGCTCCTCTGTTGAGGGGGAAGTCAGTGGGATCACACTCACTTTACCAGGACAGAAACTGAATCTCACAAGACAGGATTTGCTTGAGGTCACTGAGGAAGGTGTTGGCAGGGTTTGTGCAACTCTGGACCAAGGAAAAGAAAGAAATGAGGTAAGAACAGCAAAGTTCCTCTCTCTCCTCCACGCAGGACTCCAGGCAGGAGTGACCAGGGCTCTCTCAGTCCCTCCTGGGAGGGACCAGTGGCAGGAGTGGGGAGAAAGGGAGAGCAGAGGAGGGAGGGGGTTCTGGAGTGAGGGGCTCAGCAGAAGTTGTAGGACCAGTAAGGACGACGGTAGGTCCTGCCCCAGGAGCCATGTATTCTCTTCCTCTGACAGAAGATCGTACAGTGGAGCCAGCTGGCCGTACCCCAGACTGGGCACACAGCATATTCTAGTCTCCTAGGCAGCCATCACAAAGTGCCACCAACTGAGTGGCTTAAACAACAGAAATGTATTGTCTCACGGTTCTGGAAGCCAGAAGTCTGAGGGGTGGCAGGGTTGG